TTCTATTCTCTACGTGCCATTTTGAGAAGAATTTTATTATTTTATTAGAAACTTACCTCAGAAATTACAAAATAAAATCTGACAGTTAAAAAAAATCTCACCCACTCAAATTAAGTTGCTTTAAAGGAATCGGTTCTCAATTATTTTTTCCCCAATGGGTCAGCCTTTGAAAAGAACAAATGGTTACTTATCCTGCCATAGGGTGATCTCTTTGGCTCTGGTTCCTGTTGAATTAATACTGCTTTTCAGGGATAAGACAGTATAAAAATGTGAGAAAAGTGTGTCAAGGGATAAATAAAATGGCACATATGAAACCATTTAATTCAGCTGTTGCAAAAGTATTTAATTGTACTTGGGCCATCTTTGTTTGCCATTAAGCAAAGAGTCTTTGTTGCATTTGAAGGGTTCTAATTTCCAGGTTGACAAGTTGTTCTCTAAATTTGGACAATGAGTTAGTTAAAAGCCATCAAGTTTCTTTTCTAAATCCTTTTCTGAAGATTTCATTCGTGCTCTGTTTCCTTTGTTAACTGGAGATTACTGGTGGGGATTTGTTCTGACTGCTTCTCTTTTTGTCTCCCACCCTTCCCCAGTTTCTATTAGATTTTATCAAATTAAGACAAGAATAATTTGGGGTTTTCATTGGGCAAGTTTTGATTATTTTCAGTTGTAGTTTCTATCCTTGTCGGGATACATGTCAGTCCAACCTCAGATTAGGTCAGATGCCCCCAATTGGAACAATCTAGTTAGAGCACTCAGTGTTGTGCTAGCATTTTCCTCTTTCTTTTTCTTTTTCTTTTTTTTTTTTTAAGATTTTATTTTATTTATTCATGAGAGATGAGAGACGGAGACACAGGCAGAGGGAGAAGCAGGCTCCATGCAGGGAGCCCGACATGGGATTTGATCCCGGGACTCCAGCATCATGCCCTGGGCCGAAGGCAGGTGCTAAACTGCTGAGCCACCCAGGGATCCCCTGTTTTCCTCTTTCCAAGATGATTTTACCCACCTTCGTATCTCCCCTCTCCCCCATGTAACTTTCCTAAAATAAGTGCAGACTCTTATCTCCTAGACCTAGCAGCATTCCTGATTAGTTTCTTTTTCATATATCTCCCGGGAGGAAAAATCTCTCTTGGTTACTTAAGGATAGGAAGAGTCATCTTTGGCTTTTTTGTTTATTTTGGTTTGGATTTGGATTTCTGCTTTATTGTTATAATAATGGATAGGTCCCTCCCTGCTTTTTTCCATGGCCTTGATTAATGTACATTATGGGCAGGTAATTTGCTCCTGGAGTCATAAAAACTTGTTATCTCTCTCTTTTTTTTTTCTCTTGAGGAACAAAATTAGCCTTCAATACAATTTTTTGTTTAAATCTGTAATGTTTAACTATATGTTTAAAAATACTGTTGTATCATCTACTGATACTAAGAGAAAAAGCAATGAAAATACATCCCAAAGATTGTAGAAGATGTAGTAACATTTTGAAGTAGGACAAAATTGTGGTTCTTTGTAATTCTTTTGTTTATATAAAACAAGTAACTTTTTAAAAAAAGATTTTATTTATTTATTCATGAGAAACACAGAGGGAGAGGAAGAGACACAGGCAGAGGGAGAAGCAGGCCCGATGTGGGACTCAATCCTGGGACCAGGATCACGCCCTAAGCTGAAGGCAGATGCTCAGCTGCTGAGCCACCCAGGCATCCCACAAATAACTTTTGAAAGCCTAAACTATCCAGTTGGCTTGCCAGAACTCAATTCAGTTCAACTAATAATTATTGAGTATCATGTACTGTGTAAATCACTGGGCTATAACTAATTTAAGCTGGTAATGCAGAAAAATGAAATGGATTAAAAAAGGAAAAAAAAATCCAACAAGGCTAAGTGCATCATTAATCTCTAATCAGCCAGGATTGTAAACACCCGAAAACACATTTACTCAGATTCTCTTCAGTTCCTCAACCTGAACTCACATCAGATTAAAAAAATTTTAAGAGCTCTAGTTAGATGTCATGCCAACAATTTCAGTCGTTACAACTTTGGTAGCTAGAGGTTCATAAAGGAGAGTGGAAGGGATCAAAAAAAAAAAAACATTAGAAGGTAGATCAGACAATTTTTTAAAAAAGGAATATAGACACATAAAGGTAGATTTGACTGTCTCAGTATAGTAAGTAAAGTATAACTATAATAATCAGTAAAATTATCCTTTACTAACTTAAATTTAATTTAATTATAATTTAGTTTTATTAATGCAATCAATTTAATATGATTAATTAAAGTATTATTATTCTTTTAGCAAAAGTTTCTTTAGAGTCTCTTCTTGGCCAGATTCCTCTCGGTACCCAGAATAGATCACAGACAAAACATCTTTGTCTATGTGGTGTTTATATTCTGTTGGGAGAAGAGCAAGACATAATAAACATATATAACTTACGTAAGATGTTAAAAGGTGATAAGTGCTAGAAAAAAATAGAGTTAATAAAGAGAAGCAGGAGGAAGGGTTACAGCTTTAAATAGGATGAAAGTTAGGCTTATGGGGATATCTGTAGAAGAGCATACCTGGGAGAAAGGACAGTTAGGGCAAAGCACTAAGGTGGGAATGTTTCTAGGGAGATTGAGAAAAATAGGGAGGCCAGAGTGGCTGGAGTAGAATGAGCCTGGGGGATGAGCTGAGGGAGTGAGTGTCAGCCTTGCAGCCCTCTTAAGGAGTGAAGTGAGGAGCCCTCAAAGGATTGTAAGCAAAGGAGTTTCCTAGTCTGAGTTAACGTTTTAGCAATATCACGCTGGCTGCTGCATTGAGAATAGTATTTTGAGGGCAAGACTGGAAGGAGGGAGACCTCTTAGAGATCTAGTGCAGTAATCCAGGTTGGGAGGTGGTGGGAAGTGGTCATATTCTGAAGGAGCACCAGAGAGGATTTCCCAAGGCTTTGGATATGGAGTGTGAGAGAAAGGGAGAAGCCAGCTTGTGATGTAGGAGAAAAACAGAGTGCAGTGTCCAGTAAGGTGAAGGCTGACAATCAACCACTGACTCTAGTCGGAGGCAGGGGAGGGTCCTTGATGACCTGGATTCATGATGACCTTGATGAGGGAGCAGCTGGAAAAGGATGGGAGGAAGGGTATCAGTGAGGGCGAGGACAGTGCAAAGCAAGCAGAATTCAATGGCTTCGAGTTGCTGATGGTGTCAGGGGTGGTTGGAGTTGGGGCCCTGGAGGGGAGGAACTGAAAAGCTTGGGGCTGTTGTTCAGAGATGCGCAAAATCAAGACTGCAAGGAGTTGCAGTTACTAGTATTGCTAAGGTGAGGGGTATGACCATGGTGGTCAGTGGTTGAAGCAGAGGAGAAGACAAGTTTATTGGAGAAGAAGAATACAACGGAGAGGCCAGGAAGTTGGGCGCTTCATCAGTATGTATGTTGAAATTGCCAAGACGTAGGAGTTGTTTTGGAGAGAGGACAGTGGGGAAGGAACTGAAATCTTTGAGAAATGGTGAGGAGTGAACAGAGGCCAGTAGATGACAGTGGGCACAGTCTGATGACTTGAGAGTCAAAGCTGGAGTACTTCGGGGACAGAGTGGAGAATGATCTGGAAGCAGTAGCGAGGGGCAAGGGGAGTAAGAGGAAGCAGAGCCAGCACTTGAGTGGGCCAGTTTTCACCAAGAGCAGAGAGGCAACGCCTGCCAGAGAGGGTTTGGACACATGGGGGATTTTGCTGAAGGTGTACTCTGGGTTCACGATCAGTGGAACGGTTTCAGGAGTTAAGGAGAGGTGGGAGATGAGAAAAATGGAGGCGTGTGCAGAATCTTATGAAAATTGAGTGAGAGAACAGAGGGGAACCTGAGAGTCCAGGGCGTGTGTGCAGCACATGTGCGCGCATGTGTGTATGTGCGTGTGTGCTGGGATGAGACCTGGTGACCTCTAGGTAGATGGTGGTGCAAAGGCTGTGAGCCTTGGGCCCAGGGAGGAGAGGGTATCTGTCCCTTCCTGGGTGGCCAGCCAGGTGAGGACATCTGGGGAGATGGAAACTCAGTTCTGGTGTGCAGGGTTGACATGCCTGCTGAAGCTGGGGAGGGCAGAGGGCGGGTGGGGAGCGTGGTGTTGGTGTAGGGCCTGCTCCTGCCCCGGCGAGGAGGGGTAGACATACCCTGCATGTTCAGATCTTCCCCTTGACTCCTGTCCTGTTAATAAGAGTAAATGCGGGCACTTCTCAAGTGAATCATTAACAGTCTCTGGAGACGAGTGCTTATTACCTGATTCCTTGAGGAAACTGATGTTGCACAGCTACTTGGTAACAGAGGCAGGATTTGAGCCCAGTGGCTCGGACTCTGACTGATTGCAGCTAATTTCCTGTTAGTGCAGTGGCAATATGTCCTCCGTGATAAACACTGTAAATATCAAGACTAAACTGTCCATGACTTTATGATTTTAAAATGTCTTCAGGTGTTCTGGGTTTGTCTTTAAATATATATGGTTTTTGCTTTGACTGCAAGTGCTTTTGGGTTGTGAAGTCTTCTCTCTCTTCACAGTTCCTCATATTGCACTGTCAAGGCCATATGGGAACTTAGTTCTTTTGTTGGTAAAAGTGTTAAAAATCATGGTCTCAGAGTGCCTGGGTGGCTTAGTCGGTTATGCGTCTGCCTTTGGCTCAGGTCATGATTTCAGGGTCCTGGGATTCAGTTCTACGTTGGGCTCCCTGCTCAGTGGGCAGCCTGCTTCTGTCTCTTCCCCTGCCATTACCCTTGTTTGTGCTCTTTCTCTCTGTCAAATAAATAAATAAGAATCTTTTAAAAAATCGTCTCTTGTCAGCTAACCTGCAGCGATAAAAAATAGCTCATATCAACATGCTATTGCCAAAGCACTTCTTGAACAAACGTCTGAAATTCAGACCAAGTCCTAGAAGGCTGGAAAAGTTGTGGAATGTGTGCACATCTCCAGAGTGATAGACCTTTGAAGGCTTGTTATATTTGAAAGGCTTCTGAGGCTTATTTTATAACTGCTGTTGTCTTTTTTCAATAGCTAAACAGGAAGACACTCAGAAGAAAACCTTCACCTGCTGGATCAACTCACAGTTGGCAAAGGTGAGGAAAAAAAAAAAGAGCAAATAAAGCTATAAACATATTTTAGTTATGTTTTGGGCCTTCCTTTGGGCCCCAAAATGGCATTGGTGACATGTAAAGGTTGAAAGAATGTGGTGAAGTCACCTTGACCTTGTTTAGATGTTTCTTATTCTTTCCCAACACAAAAAAGAGACTTTTGTTAAGGGTATGGGAGATAGTGCTCTAAAAATATTTAAGGCAGCAGCATCTTTTTAAAATCAAATGTAATAATAATAATAGAATAACAGTGGAGTGTTATATGTATAACACTCATATGTAAGGAGTGTTAAATGTTAGACACTGTTCAAAGCTTTTTAAGTGAAATGAATTTGCATTGCATTTATGAGACTTGACAACATCCCCATGAGATAGTATTATTCCTGTTTAAAGAACAAGAGGGCAGCCCGGGTGGCTCAGCGATTTAGCACAGCCTTTGGCCCAGGGCCTGATCCTGGAGACCCGGGATCAAGTCCCATGTTGGGCTCCCTGCATGGAGCCTGCTTCTCCTTCTGCCTGTGTCTCTGCCTCTCTCTCTCTCTCTCTTTCTCTCTGTGTGTCTCTCATGAATAAATAAATAAATAAAATCTTTAAAAAAAAAAAAAACAAGGAAACTCAAGTACAAAGATGTTAATGTGACTTGCCCAAGGCCACACCACTTGTAAGTGATAGTGGTGGGATACAAACCCAGGCAGTTTGGATCCAAAGGCCTTGATCTTAATCACTGTCCATCCTGTCTCTCAGGGACACCATGTGCCTGGAATAATCTAGATACAAAATGACTGAGTCTCTCCTCATAGGCCATCTATCCCTGCCCAATGCAGTTCTAGAAGGGGTAAATTCATAAACAGATTACTCTGGTTGTGTAATCTACTCCCCAAATAGGTCACTACTGGCTGATTTGAAATGCCATTAATGCTGCCTCCATGCACAGGTTTTAAGCTTTCAGTGAAAGCTACAAGAGTGCTGTGTTACTGGAAATTTGCCATGAGATAAATTAAGTTCGCTACTTCTCTTACCATGCTTTGATAAAGAACATTGTGTGTTCTCTCTCATCCCGTTAATTAAAAATCACTACTGAATTAATGCTTTTGTGAAGTCACACAGCACATTTATGGGATTCTTAAAGGTATTATGTTTTTCGAGCAATGTTTGAATGAGTATTTTTCTTGTAACCTCTTGTAGCACATTCCTCCCTCGGTTGTATCAGACCTGTTTGCAGACATTAAAAAGGGGCATGTCCTCCTGGACCTGCTAGAAGTACTCTCAGGACAACAGTTGGTAAGCTTTTTAAATGACATTAAAAAACCTTTTGTTGATTAAAAAATTGTTTTTCATATTTCTAAGTAATATATTTTGCTTGAATTTTGTAGCCTCGAGACAAAGGATCTAATACATTCCAGTGTAGAATCAATATAGAACATGCCCTGACATTCCTAAAAAACCGATCAGTGAGTATGAATTTCATCTGAAGATTCACAGGAGAAATTAATGCTATAAAATGTTTTCTCCGTTTAACCCATGTTTCTTCTTTTCCAGATCAAGCTAATAAATATTCATGTTACTGATATTATAGATGGAAACCCATCCATTATTCTTGGCTTAATTTGGACAATTATTCTGCACTTTCATGTAAGTAGTTTGATGATGTGAAAGCTATTTCTGTTCTAATTACTGCAGTATGAAATAAGTGTAATGCAATAAAATTCAGTCCTGAGTTTCTTCTGGAAGCAAGACACTCTGGAAATCTTGACAGGTAGATCTTTGGCCATTTATGTTATTTTGCATTTGAAAATTGAATGTTGAATTATGATATCTTACATTATCCATAGTATCAGCACCAGTCTGAATAGAACCTGCCATGATAAAATTTTGCCTATTGTTTACTTACTCTGGCAAGAGATAGTAGGATGCTTTTGGAGTGAATTTTTTTGAAAACTAACCCACTAAATTTGTAGAATCTCCCAGTTTTGTTCAATCTAATAATACCACAACACCTAGTCCTATTCAAGACTGATTCATGGATTAATTTCATGCCATATATATTTGAACACCTACTGTGTGCTAGTTTTTGTGCTAGGAAACCAAGAAAACAGCAAAGACAGTTATAGTCCAGACTTTTTGATACTTATGACGGATAAATATATTCTCCAGACCTGTGATTCTGAGTTAGTGGAGATTTTCTGCTGCAACCTAAAAGTTGCATGTTCTATATCTCTATAATTACCTTGAAAATAACACTAAGGGATCCCTGGGTGGCTCAGCAGTTGAGTGTCTGCCTTCAGCCCAGGGCATGATCCTGGAGTCCCAGGATCGAGTCCCACATTGGGCTCCCTGCATGAAGCCTGCTTCTTCCTCGCCTGTGTCTCTACCTCTCTCTCTGTGTGTCTTTCATGAATGAATAAATAAAATCTTTAATAAAAAAAAAAGAAAAGAACTTTAAAAATTATGTAGGAAATAAATGCTTATTTTATAAAAACTAGAAAATAACTAATTTGTATACAAATTAAAACATCTAAAAATAAGACTATGATTTCTGGATACCCACATTTGAAGTTGCAGTAGAATAATATGCATGAGGATGATGAAAACCAAATTTAGAATTGTGTTTTTTTCCCTCTGGAAAAGGAAGGAAATGGAATTGCAGAGGGAAAGACAGAAGGCTTAAACTGTGTCAGTGTTTCATCTCTTTAAAAAAATATGAACCAAATGTGGTAAAATGTTAAAATTTGACAATAATAGGCATTTATTGTATTTTTTCTCCATACTTTCCAGGATATTTAAAATATAATTAAAAATTTCAATATAGATAATGAAAACCAAGTAGAGTCACCAATAATTCTACCAATCACTGATAAGCACTAAATAATTTGGTATATAGATTTCATGATATGTGCAGCAGGAAGGAATGTATATATTCATCTACCTATCTATCTATCATCTATCTATCTATCTATCACATGGAATGGTCATGCTATCCAAACTGTTTTCAGTCTCTTCTAATGAACATCTTTCTGAATTCATACATATTTGTTAATGGAGGCCTAGTGCTCTATTGCAAAGAACTATATTTCATTAATTAACAGTCAGAATGTTCACAGTTTTACGATTGTAAGCAATTCTAAAAAGACTACCCTTCAGATAAAATGTTTCCATACAATCTTAATTATTTCTATGACCTAGTTTCCTAAAAGTGAAATTGTCTGGCCATAAGTCTTCCTTTTTTTTTTTTTTGGTCTTCGTATTGCTAATGTAAATAAACTTTTGTTGAAGTATAACATACATAGAGAAAAATGCACACATTTTAAGTGGTGTAGAGCTTGATGTAGTCTTATAAATTACATCCATGTAACTACCACCCAAGATAAAAATAGAGAACATTGCCTGCATTCCAGAGTTCCTAAGTGTTTCTTCCAGTCCTTGCCCCATTCCGTAAAGAAAACCATCACTTTGATCTCTTATCATTGTTTAGTTTAGCATCTTTACTTCCCTATAAAGGAATTATAACTGAATTGGTTTACATACACTGTATACTCTTGTGTCAGATTTATTTCACTTTACATAATCTATGAGTTTCAACTTGACACTGTTATTGGAATTTGTGAGTTCCTTGCTCCAATGCTCGCTGATACTTGACATTAAAATTTTTAACTTTTAGCTATGCTATTGTGTATAATGATTTATAGAAGTTTTAAAAAATATTCTGAATACAAGTCCTTTATCGAATATCTATAAATTGCAAATATCTTCTCTGATTCTGTGGCTGCCTTTTCAATCTTTTAGTGAATAGACATGCATGATTTTAATGTAGTTCAAATTTATCAACTTCCTTTTTTGGTGGCTAGTACTTTATATGTCCTGTAAATAAATCTTTCCTTTTGTCAGCAGCATGGAGATAGTTTCTTAAGCTATTTTCTTGAATAATTCTGTCCAAATTGGACTTTCTTCAATGATAGAAATGTCCTGTATTCACTGTACAAGACAGTAGCTACTAGTTGCTTGTGGCTGTTAAATACTTGAAATGTAACTAGTATGACTGAGGAATTAAATTTTTACATTTAATTTAATTGATTTAAATTAAACAGTCACATATGGTTAGTGACTATTATATTGGACAGTGCAGTTCTAAAAGCTTAATAGTTTCACATTTTACATTTAGACCTACAATCTTTTGAGAATGAATTTTTTTGAGTATGTTATATTAAAGCAATCAAAATTATTTTTTTCCGTATGGCTATCAAGTTGAACCACTACCATGTATTGAAAAGACCATCATTTTCCTAGTGTACTGTAGGGCCAGTAAATTAAAAAAATCAAGTAACCATATATGTGTGGCTCCCAATCGTCAGATTGTCAGTTCTGTTCCATTATTTATCCTTGCACGTACTATACTATATCAATTTCTATAGCTATATAGAAAGTCTCGATATCTGATCATGTCCAACTTGTTCTTTAGGATTATTTTGTTTATTGCTTACTCTCTGCATTCTCATATAATTTTTAAAATTGAGATGTAATTGACATATACCATTGTGTAAGTTTAAGGTATACAACATGTTGATTTGATATTTGCATAAATTTTATAAATAACTTGTCAATTTACATGCATACAATCTTGGAATTTTAGTGAGGATTGCATTAAATGTATAATTTAGAAAAAATTGACATCTTTAAAATATTACATTGTTTAATCCATGCATACAATATTTTTGTTACTGCTCTGTTCAAAACAGTTTCTTTTTTTTAAAGATTTATTTATTTATTTATTCATGAGAGACACAGAGACAGAGAGAGAGAGGCAGAGACACAGGCAGAGGCAGAAGCAGGCCCCACACAGGGAGCCTGATGTGGGACTTGATCCCAGGTCTCCAGGATCACGCCCTGGGCCGAAGGCAGACACTCAACCGCTGAGCCATCCAGGGGTCCCAAAATAGTTTATTTTCATGATGATTTCTTATTTGACCTCTGGGTTTTATAACATTCTTTGCTTAATATCTAAATATTTGGGGATTTTGTTTGTTATATCTTTGTTACTGATTTCTAGCTTAATTTCAGTGTGGTCAGATAATATTATCTGAATGATCTCAGTTCTTCAAAATTGCTTAAGCTTGCTTTATGACTTAGCATCGTCAATTTCAGTAAATATTTTATATGGGTTTGAAAAGAATGTTGATTCTGCCATTTTAGGTACAATGGGATACACCAATCAGATCCACTTTGTTAATTGTGTTGGTCACATCTACTATTACTGGTGTCTGGTGGATCTATTAATTATTAAGACGTGTACTTCTTTCAACAATACTTGCTACTGTGTTTGTAGATTTATCTTTTAAAGTTTTCCATAGGTATTATCTTACTGCCCTCCAAAAAATCTGAACCAACTTATGTGCTTACCAGCAATATGTAAAAATCCACTTTCTCATACTTTTACTAGAGGATGCCATCACTTGATATTAACTTTTAAAATTTTTGCCCATGTTATAAATGAAGAAACTGTCCTCTTGTTGTATACATTTGGCTTTCTTAAATGACTATGAAGTTATTTTCCACATACTTAATGGCAGTTTTTTTTCTTTCTTGGAACTTATCTCTTATGTATTTGACTGTTCTTTCTGTATGTATATTTGTTTCTTAATGGTTTATAATCAAGGATTCATTTTAACTAACCCAGTCTCTCGGAAGACTTTCTAGACTAGAATCTCAAATTAGTTCAATTCAGTTTAGAGTGACAGGTGTTGAGCACCAGCGAAGTGCTCTGTAAGCATTTTAGAGGGATGAATAGTCCAAGAGAGCTTGCCCTTAAGGTGGAATGCAATACCTGAATAAGGGCAACGAGTTACCCAAGTCCATGGAAAGAAGCCTAAGTGCACACAAGATGACAAATGCTGTTATTCAAAGATTTGTCTCTTGCTTATTTCACCATGAATAGCCCCTCACTGCTTTAGGATACTTTTTTTTTAGTTCTTGTTTTGGCAAAGGTTTTGCCTCAGTGCTACTAATTTATGATTTGTATGTGTTGACTATTATGTCTTCCTTAGATTGAGGAGCTTGCCCGGACTCTTTCATGCAATTACAATCAACCTTCCCTGGATAGTGTGAGTGTGGCAGACTCATCTCCTACCTCAAGTCCTCCAGCTAAGAAATGCTCCAGAGCCCAAGAAAGATGGCAGATGTCTGCAAAGAAGGCTCTTCTCTTGTGGACTCAAGAGCAGTGTGCCCCGTAAGTAGTTTGCTACGACCAGGACACACAGGGCAGCTTTATCCACTACACAGCCCTACTGACTCCAGGTCTGAAAATCAGGCCGACTAGGTGTAACACCCATCTGAACACTTTCTACTCCTAAAAGGTAAATGTTTACCAACCTCCTTCTTCTCAGAGTGAATTTGAATTGTACAATGTAGAGGTTAATGAACTCAGCCATTTTTGGTTTCAAAGACAGCAGATGATGTTACTGGGTAACTTCCCTCACCTCCACCCCTGTGTTTAGGTGGACTGTTACTGTGTAAAAATAAAGCGGTCTTTAAGTATCCTTTTCTTTAGGCATAATTCCCCTATGCAACCAGGAGATGGATTCAAATCCCAAACATTTTACCACACTAGGAACTCTTTAAAAGTCAGGACTACATCTTTATTGACTGTGAATCCTCAGAAACCTAGCATAATGTGAGTTCATAGTAGGTGCTCCATAAAATGTATGTTGAAGGAGTGAATGAGCAAATGAAGGAATAAGTAAGCAACACATAAAATTATCTTTTGGAGCTGTATCTGATTACATTAAAAGACCATAGTATGCATTGTTTAGACATTTGTAGCTCAATTAGAGAACAGAAGCCAGAGAATAGGATTTGTTTTAAAGAGTAGGGATGATGAAAGGAAGTTACTGCTCAGAAATTCTATTTTACAAAGAAAAAGTTTTTTTTTTTTTTTTTTTGTTCTTGCGAGGCATTTACTCTGTTGTTATAAGCACTTGCTGTGATAGGATTTAGGAAAAATAAGGAGTTAGGATGCAGGAGAACTCACCACGAAATGAGCTATGGAGTTCAAAAGGCATTCCTTGTCATATCATAGCGTTGTCTGGATAAATAGAGGCATAAATATGTCACTAAGGCCTCTTAAATAGCAGGCTTCTGAGTAACTTCTTCCCAATGAAAGGCTAAGATGCTAATTTCTGCCTTCAGCCTTACCTTTCTTTGTCATTCATTCTTTGCATTTCATGAGGAACAAAAAAACCATGTATCTTATGAGTTTTTTTTTTTTAAAGTTTATTTATTAGAGAAGAGCATGAACACAAGCAGGGAAGTGGCAGAGGGAGAGGGAGAAGCAGGCTCCCCACTGAGCAGGGAGCCCGATGTGAGGCTCTATCCCAGGGACCCTGGAATCAGTATCTGAGCTGAAGGCATCCACTTAACTGACTGAGCCACCCAGGTACCCTATCTTATGAGGTTTTAAGTATATCAGATGAACTTTTTCTTCAATCTTCGAGAGACAATTTTACTTCAGTTTTCTACCATGCGTGAAAGTGTTATCAAATCATATTCAGACTTGTTTCATTTACTGGTAAGTAAGTTTCTTTAAAAAAAAACAAAAACATTTTATTTATTTATTCATGAGAGACACAGAGAGAGACAGAGACATAGGCAGAGGAAGAAGCAGGCTCCTCACAGGGAGCCCAATGTGGGACTTGATCCCGGACCCTGGGATCACGCCCTGAGCCAAAGGCAGATGCTTAACTGCTGAGCCACTCAGACATCCTGGTAAATAAGTTTCAAACCAGTTCAAAGTTCAAATATGATCTTTTTCTCCATGTCTTTCCTTGCTTTTCAACTATGAGCTCTGCTAAACTTATCAAGATGTAGTAAATCATTCTTAAGTAATTCATCAGAAGTTTGTTTTGGCCATCATTGGTGATATTATTAGGTAACTTTTATTTCAGTATTCTATGATACTCTGGAACTCACCTGAGTTCCAGAGTATAGTTAGACTATGTTGTAAGAAATATATTCTCTTATTTCTGAAGGAGATGAATTGAGGCCCTTGTTTGCAACTTCTAAATGAGCTTAGATCCTGCCAATCACTTTGGAGCCCTAACCTGCCCTCCATAATACCTGACAGCCGGTGCAGGTCCATATAGAGCTGACCTCACAGTCTGGTGCTTTACTGAAGGCAGTGTCAGCACTTAGCTATTTCTGACCCCCACTCTGCCCTGCCCTCAAATGAGGGCAGTGGCCTTCATCCCTTTAGCTAGTTTTGCTTAGCATCTAAGCACACTTCCTGAGGCTAGAATCCTGGATTTGAATCCTACCTCCCTGCACTTTCTAACTGATGACTTCTGATATTTAATATTTTTGAATTTCCTCAATCGTAAAAATGTGGACAGTACTAACACTTCTTAGGGTTATTATGTGTATTATAAGAATTATTTTTTAAAGAGCATTTAGAACAGGGGCATCTGGCTGGCCCAGTGTTTGAGTGGCTGCCTTTGGCTCAGCTTGTGATCCCCGGGTTCTGGGGTTGAGTCCTGCATCAGGCTCCCCGCAGGGAACCTGCTTCTCCTTCTGCCTATGTCTCTGCCTCTCTCTGGGTGTCTCTCATGAATAAATAAATAAAGTCTTTAAAAAAAAAGAGTATTTAGAACAGTTTCTAGACACAGCATGGACCATGTAAGTATTTGTTAAACAAGACAAAAGTCACTGAATAGAATACTATTTTAGTTTATCACAGTCATAGTTCAGACATTTTTTCCTAAGGGATTCAGGAAAGGCCATGTCGTCAGAAGCTGATTTTCTCCAAAAGTTTTTATCATTTGATTCATACTTTAAATTAGTCCATTGAATTTCCTTGTGTTTTTTGTGAGATATTAAATTGTTCTGGAATATTGTTTTGGAATATTTCCCACATTTTGTTCTGGAATATTCCCCACATTTTGTATGCAGCTAGCTATACTCTTATAATATCCTCACTGCTCCCTTGTCAAATACAGATTAGTGATTGATGGAGTGATTTGAAATATGTATATTAAGCACTTTTATATGCCAGACACCGTTTGGAGAGGAGTCTACTGTGATAGTCAAGAAATACAAGGCCCTTGCTCTCCAGGGCCTTGTGCCTGTAGCAGATGGATCAATATGATAACTACAGTTGACAGTAAGCTCAGGGACCTTATGATGATGATTGAGAATGCTGAGAGTGGGAGGATGGCCTTTATCTGAGGTGGTCATGGAGTGTCTTTCTGAGGAGGAGACCTTTGAGCTGAGGCCTGAAGGAGAAGGCTTCAGGTGTATGAAGATCTAGGAGAAAGAGCATCCAAGCAGAAGGATTAAAAAGAGCACGGTATTGAGAAACAAAAACAAAGCCAGCATAGCTGCCACATTGTAAGAGAGGAGATGTAAGAGTAGGAGTGGGAGGCAGGGGCCAGAGTGAGAGATATTATTCTGACAAGTGATGACAAGGGTGTTTTTTTTTTAATAATTTTTTTATTGTAATAAAATATACATAACATGAAATTTATCATTTTAACCAATTTTAAGTGTACAATTCAATGGTGTTAAGTGCATTCACATTGTAATGTAACCAGCACCACCATCCATCTTCAGAACTTTGTTCATCTAGTAAAACTAAAACTACTCCCCACCCTCCCCTTCCTCAGCCCCTGGCAGCCAGTGGTCTACTTTCTGTGTCTATGAATTTCACTACTGTACGTACCTTAAATGAGTGGAATCATATAGGATTTGCCCTTTTGTGACTAACCTCTTTCACTCTGCATTAACATCTTCTAGGTTCATCCATGTTGCAAGATGTGTTAGAATGTCCTTCCTATTTAGGGCTGAGTAATATTCCATTGTATGGACACTGCATTTTGTTTATCTATTCATCTGTGATGACTAGTTTTAAGCAGAGGAGTGGCAAGGTCTATATCCAATGAGCTACTGGCCATTCACGTGGCATAGTGTATCATTTAAGTTGTTATAATGAGAAAGATTATTGTTTCCTCTGGAGAAAGGAAATTAACTACATGTGGGGATCTAAAGTCAGTCATAAGCCAACAGATTTTTGAATGGAGAGCATTAAACTTGAGTGCATATTGTCATTTGGAGGGCTTTTAAAGACATAGATTTCAGATCTACCTCCAGAATTTGATGGGGGTACGTTTGGGGTTGGATCCGACTGAGAATTTATATCTCTAGCACTTGCAGCCCAGGTGATGCCAGTGCTGCTGGTCCCAGGGCCACACTTTGAGAACCAATGTTCTGTAGTATCAGACATAGCATTTGACTTCAATCTGACCACAAGATTGAAAGAAAATATTTTCCTAGGATGATTTATATGGTTCACTGAAATTTGTTTTAATTACTATTGAATATAGTGGATGTGCTTTGATAAATTTTTTAAAATAGTATTTATCATGTTTTTGTCCTCTTGTGATAGGTATGAGTCTGTCAATGTGACAGATTTTAAGTCAAGCTGGAGAAATGGGATGGCTTTTTTGGCGGTCATTCATGCCTTACGACCAGACCTAATTGACATGAAGAGTGTGAAGCATAGATCCAACAAAGACAATCTGAAAGAGGCCTTTGGAATTGCAGAACGAGAATTTAAAATCCCCAAATTGCTTGAGCCAGAAGGTAAAGAATCTTTTTTCTTTTTGAAACAATGTCCAGTGTGAAATTGGTTTAAAAATGGCATCTAAAGTGGCACCTGGGTGGCTCAGTGGTTGAGCGTCTGCCTTTGGCTCAGATTGTGATCCCAAGGGTCCTGGGATCAAGTCCCACATCAGGCTTCCACAAGGAGCCTGCTTCTCCATCTGCCTTCGTCTCTGCCTTTCTTTCTGTGTCTCTCATGAATAAATAAATAAAATCTTTTAAAAAATGGGAACTATATATAAATAAAATGGCATTATACATTTAGTCCTGAAGGGTTAAACTTACACTCTTTATTAAATTTCGTGAAATTAAGAATTCCTACCAATTAGTTAATTTCAGTAATTACAGGGATGATATGAGAGCTGAAAGCAAACAGTGCTGTTATTGGAAATAATTTGAGTCTTCGTCTTAAGTTTCTTTTGTTGTGTTCTATATCACGTTCCTTTGATTCTGTTACTCTGTTACTCTAAAATGTCTCTAGTAAACCTGTTCTTTGAATTAAGTATTTCCCCTACCTCCTCCCCCTCAATAATGCTGAACTTCCATGGGTCCAGAAACTGCTTTTTCTGTTTCTGCCTCTATGGCTGGTTCAGCTTTGCCATGGCTATGCTCAATATATTGTGTTGGATTGTTAACAATGACGACAGCAAAATCTGAAATACTGGTTATATTCCAAGAGGTAATTATGTTAACTTCATAAAATTAAGATTAAGGTGATTTATTTCTTTGGAAAATCACTTTACTTTGGATTGAATTGTTTCTTAATGTACCAAAGCTTATTAAAAATCCTAGTAAGAAAAAAAAATCCTAGTAAGGTCCGAAAAAGAGGTCTATAGGATTAGTGGAGATTATAATGAACTAACAGATTAAGAGATACAAATTCTAGTCTCAGCTCTATAACCCTGGGTGTTTAGGTTAATGTGTGACTGGCTCTCCAAAACAATCTGTGTGTGTGTGTGTGTGTGAGTGTGTGTATATACTTTTATAGGTGTATTACAAATATTACTAATATAAAGCACATATAGAAAAAAAATAAAGCACATATAGCACATAGTTTACAAATAATAATACAATATATGATACACTTTATTATAAATTCCATATAGCCTTCAAATACTTTTGTTGATTTTTGCCAAACTCTTTTTATTTTTAAAAGACATTTTTTATTTATTTGAGAGAGCGAGAGAGAGCCCAAGTTGGGGGGAGGGGCAGAGGAAGAGGGAGAGGGAGAAGCAGGCTTCCCGCTGAGCAGGGAACCCAAAGTGGGGCTCAATCCTGGGACCCTGAAATCATGACCTGAGCTGAAGGTAGATGCCTAACTGATGGAGTCACCCAGGTGTTTCTTTGGCAAACTCATATCCATCTGCAGCCAATTTATGGCCGCAGTTGCTGGACATGTATAGTTCTGACATGAATGTTGGTGGATAATTTCCTTTACATTCACAAGGAAGTATGACAACAAAGAAGTTTGTCACAGCTTCATTTGTACTTCAACAACATAAAGGATTTTTTGCTGAATCTAATACTAGAAGAATATTTCCTCAATTTTTTTGTGCTATGTGCAATTTAACAGCTCTAAGCAGGGCATACTTTTAAGTTTAACCTGCATTATTAACATTTTCTCTATCCTTTTCTTCATAATCAACAAAACAAGAAATCAAGCCCTCATTTGCTGATTCGTGTGTGTGTCTGTGTGTGTGTGTGTGGTTTGAACAGTACCGTTTCAGCCAATTCCAGTGTGAAGTCACTGAACAGAGTAGGGAAAATATGTGCAACTCTAACATAGCATTATGTATTATGTTTTTCTATCATACAGGTACAATAGAGGTAAATAACCTCAAGAGAATAATAGTAAAATGTAGTAAAATTGTTGGGAAGTTGTGAGTTTTGAGTATCAATTACCTTTGTTTTAATATATTTTTTGATTATGCATTCATATAATCTAATTTTTAATGCTGTGTTTAACAACCAGCTGATAAAAGTGCTGAAAATCTAATAATCAGCTCTCTGAAGCTGAGCCATCTGGCTCCAGCATAGCACTAAGTGATTGTGGCTTTGTCACTTAACTTTTTGGATTTTAAATAGCTTTATTGAGATGTAATTCACATACCATAACAATTTACCCATTTAAGTGTACAATTCAATAATTTTTCAGTTTATTAGTGAAAATTTCCAGCCATCCTCATAATCAATTTTAGAACCTTTTCATCATTCTGAAAAGAATCCCATTAGCAATCTCTCCCTATCCCGCGCCCCCCCCCCCCCCAGCCCTTGCAACCACTAATTTTTTCTCTTCCTATAGATCTGCCAATTCTGGACATTTCACATAAATGTAGTCTTTTGTAGCTGGCTTCTTTATCTTAGCATAATCCTTTCAAAGCTTATCTGTGTGGCAATATTTGTCAGTACTTCATTCTTTTTGTTTTTAATAGGCCTTACATTTTAGAACATAAGGTTTACAGAAAAATTGGGAAGATCTAGTAAGTTCCACAAAATTTTCCCTACTGTTGACATATTAGTACATTTGTTATAATTAATGAACTAATATTGATATATTTTTGTACTTTATTCACACTTCTTTAGTTTTCCCCTCATGCTCTTTTTCTTTTCAGGATTCCATCCAGAATTCTACATTACATTCAGTTTTCATGTCTTTTTTGGCTACTCCTAACTGACAGTTTCTTATACCTTTTTGTTTTGATGACCTGACAGTTTTGAGGATTACTGGTCATATATATAATAGAGTACCCCTTTGCTGGAACTTGCATTATGTCTTTTCTCATATTAGATTGGGGTTATGGGTTCTTGGGAGAAAGACCACAGAGGTAAAGTGCCATTCTTATATCAGGGGAACATGCTGTCCATATTATATCTGGTGATGTTAACCTTAACCACCTGGCTGAGGTAGTATTTGTCAGGTGTCTCTCTTGTGAAGCTATTTTTTTTTTTTGTTTCCATCTTCCTGTATTGTACTCTTTGGAGGGAAGTGATTCTGCATAGCTCACACATAGGAAAGTTATGCGCACTCTCCTTGAGGGCAGATTATCTACATGAATTATTTGCAATTCTTTTGCAGGAGCTATGTCTGTTCTCCTGCATCTATTCACTTATCCAACCAGTTGTTTATATCAGTATGGGCTATGGACACTTTATTTTATACTTTGGGTTGTAATCTAATACTACGTTGTTTTATTGCTCAAATTGAAAAAGATTTTTTAAGCCCAGAGTTTTAGCCCTTGGGAGCTCTTTCAGCTGGCTCCTGATCTTCTTTGACATATCCCCATTAGTGGTGTTCCCTCATTTGTTTTAGAACACATCCTTATCTTCTGGCCCTGTAAGATAGACCAGGGTCATCTTATACATTTCCTCCCCCAATCCTGGGATCAACCTTCTCTCCAAGGAGCACTGGCTCCTTCTATTGGAAAGTGACATTCAAGGCTAAGCTCTGGGTGCTAACTGTGCTTGTTGCTATTGGTTCTTAGCCTTCTTGGACCTCAGTTGAAGCAGATGATATTTCTAAATTATAAGTTAGCCTAATAATTCCATATTTTTATATATTAGATTTGTCGTTACTTTAGTGTCAGGTGACTTATTATTCTTGTTAACTTTCCTCTCCTTGTTTTTTCTTTCTTTCCTCTTCTTCCTTTCTTTGTCTTTTCTCTTTTCCTTTTGGCTTTTCATTATCTTTTTTTTCTTTTCTTTATTTTTCCTCATGTTTTGTTCTATCTTTTCTGATTGCTGGGTCGGTTTTCTGTTTTTTTTTTTTGTTTGTTTGTTTTTTAGCAGTTTTTTCTCATTGTGATTATCTAAATCTTTATTAGCATAAAATATTTTTCCTAGTTCAGTATGTAAAAATAATTAGGCAAATAATGTCAGGACAGTATAAAAAAGGCAAATTTCCACTGTAGAAAAGATTGCCCATAATTCATTTTAAATGGCTTAAATAATAGCTTAAAATGTGAAATATATCATGATTATTTATGCAAACGAAGTGATAGTGTGTCATATTTGAATAAGAGAATTATCTTTTGACAATTTTATTAAAACAATTAATCACAATGCATAGCTTCATATATAATACAGTTTTTAAAAAGAAACATCTAGTTAAGCCAGTATAATTATTTTATGTATCTCTGAATATACTTTTACTTTTTTAGTTATACTTTTCTCAGTGAAAGAATAACTCAGCTCTTAGGGATGCTTCCTTTATTGAAACTCCACCCTTACCTTTTTATTGATACCTTTTATATGTTTATTGTATGTATTTTATTATTTGGATATGGATTAGATTCATGTTTTTTCCTCAGCCCGCTTAGAAGAGTCGTTGGGCCCAGGAAACACATTTGCTAAAGCATGCATGGTGTGTTATATTTGTTTGTTGTTTGTTTTTATCCTAACACTGAACTCCTTGAGGGGCAGATAATATCTTAAGGCATCTAGCATCTACTCAGGTGTCTAGCATCTACTTGTTGAATGAATAAAGTGATGAAACATATGGCCCCTATGGGCAGGAACTCAGCCTTACATACCTTGCTCGTGACCTACATTTGTTGGCTCTCTATAAATATTTGATGAATTTATTCTAACTGAATTAATAAATAAACACAAAAGATTTTCCTTTTCAGTATCTTCCTGGTTATTTTGGCAACATACCAAAAGACAACCCAAAATTATGTGTTCATTTTCTGTAGCATATTGTGATCCCTTCTTTGTGATTTTGTGATCTATCTATTTTATGTCTGGAGAAGTTCTGCACTCAAGGAACGTATGATAATTTTACTTTGTTTAATTCAGCATTTTCCAACTTTGTTTCATCATGGTCTTTGTTACTGCAACACAAGGATTGGCCCACAGAAGTCTCTCAGTAAATATATTTGTTCCACAAATGAACAAATAAAATCTTGTAGATGTCTTGAGTAAGTCTTCTGTACTACATATGCTTTTGGAAATGCTTTACTGCACACTTGCTAAGACCATTTGACAGGAATGGATTCCAGTTGCTATATGTTCCTATACTCTCCACTCCTGGAGGAGTTTCCATACCATGTCTCTGGAAGGGAAAAGGCTATATTTTCTCTTTTCCACCATCCTGGAGTACTTATGCCCTTATACAGACAACATGCATAGTGGAAATTGAGGCTGTGCATGTACTACTGCCAGGATTCAATTCAACTCTTTGAATCTGGATCTAAGCTCTTAGCCACTGCGCAGACATGGAACAAGAGTGACTGACCAGAGATTGCATGGCTGGCTAACTACTTTGGTTCATTTCAAGGCTATCTTATGGCATAGCCTGTTCTTATGTAGTAATTACAGTAAATCACATTTATAGCTAATTGATAGTGTGGCATATCTTGCAGATGTGGATGTTGCTAATCCCGATGAAAAGTCAATCATGACCTATGTGGCACAATTTCTACGGTATTCGAAGGATGCAGCTGAGACTGGAGATAAAACTCAGGTATGTCTTTATAAGTATGACTCAAGCACATTTTTGTTGTACCCTACTAATGCTTAATTTTTAAAATTGAGGTATAATTTGCATATAGAACTTTAATGTGTGCAGTTCTATGAGTTTTGACAAATGCATACTACCATGTAAACCATGCAGCAATCATGATGTAACACATTTCTATCACCTGGAATGTACTACTGTGCCTCTTTACTATCTGTACTCCCTACCCTCAGCAGCCAATATTCCAATTTCTTTCACTATAGATTAGTTTTGCCTTTTTAAAAATATTTTTAAGTTAAAAGTGGTAATTAATTAAACTTTGCTGAGTTATCTAAAATAACTTTTACATAGGAAGTATATTAAGACAAATTAAATTTAGCAGGCTTTTGAAAAATTCTAGAGCTTTCTAATTTTTTGTCTATTTTAACAGTTTTTTTGAAATGTAATTTACATACCATAAAATTAAACCATTTAAAGTTTACAATTCAGTGGTTTTCAGCGTGTTATATAGTTGTGCAACCATCACCACAATCTAATTTTAGCATATTTCCATTTTACCTGTTCTTTAGCTACATATAACTAGAATTGTATAATTTATAAAAATGGGGGCAGTGTGTTCTACTCTTCATCGTTTGCTGAGGTACTCTTGAATCACTATGAGGCTGTCATTTGATTATTCAGGTTTTTCCTTTGACTTTCAGTCAGGTACAAATACTGTAGGTGTGAATTTCATAAAAATCACTGAGCTGCAAATAAACACTTATTCTGCTGCTGTGAAGATAAATGAGTGCTGTGAATTTAGTACACTGTTTTTGAATGTTAAAATAATATTTCTTTAAGCTACCTCCTCAGATGTGTTTACATGCGGTCATATTGTTGCATTTTATGTGTCAAATTTAGGCTGATGTTTTTCCAACTGTTAGCATTTTGAGGCCTTATGCCAGATTGTTGCTGACTCTGGGACAGAGACTCAAGCTGGGACTCAGCCTTCTAATTCAGTTCAGTTATTTCTGACCTGCTGAGGAGCTACTCTTTTCTAATTAATTTTCTTATTAAAAAATAAAATGAAAAATTCAACTGTCCATGAAATCAGATGCAAAAATATATAGAAAACACTCCAGTTTTAATAGAAAGAGAAGAATAAATGAAGGTTAAAGGAGAATGGAAATAAGATGTAAAGTTTTTGGCTCTATTCTCTGGCAGTAAATTTTGCTCTCAGATGTAAGCCATCAAGAATCTAAGAAAAAGAGAATTGTTGCTCATGTCCACAGGGTAGCAGAACCAAAACCTTTAGTGGCGTTTTTTAGGGTCTTTCAAATGCTCATGATATTTTTTGATGTCAGTGTATTTGGGTGTAAATAGCCATGAGTTAACCCATATTTAGATGTATTGGAAAGCAATATTCTGATATGCCTGCTATAAATGAGTCATTTAGAATAATATTCTCTGAAATTGAGGAATAATGGAAATGGATAAGCACCCCCCCACCAAAAAAATAGGGGCTTGCTTGCCCTACCTCTTTAGCACATTATGTTCAGGTGCTAGTCTCAATCCATTTTAAAATTTAAGGTGTTATGTGAACAAGCAGAATTTCTCTTTGGTGCCATAAGTCCTTGGTGTGTAATGATTGCATATTTCACTGATGTTTGAAGTTGTTAATTTTATTGTTAAAAAAAAACACCTCCAAGTCTATTTAGGGTAGAGTTTTAAATGTGTGTGTGTGAATTACAGGGCAAGATGAAAGATGCTGTGGCCTGGTTAACTCTACAAGAGAAAAAACTACAGAAAGTGCTAAAGGATTCAGAAAATGAGACCTACTCTAAAAAGTATGAAGTAAGTATGACTTATAAATAGCAATTATTTATTTGTAGCTTACTGTCAGGGAGGAGTAGAATGTTTTTGGAAAAAAATCTTTCAGAGTAATTATTTAATAAATGCTAAACTAAGTTTTAACATCAAGTTCTAGGATAGTGCTTGTCAAATTTTAATTTGCATGTGAATTACATGGGGAATCTTATTAAAATGCAGATTCTGGGGCCCCTGGGTGGCTCAGTTAAGCGGTTGCCTTCTGCTCAGGTCATGATCCCAGGGTCCTGGGGCCAAGCTCCACATCAGGCTTCTTGCCTGATGGGCAGCCTGCTTCTCCCTTTCCACCACTTGTGCTCTCTTGTGCGCTCTCCCTCTCCCTCTCTTAAATAAATAAATAAATAAATAAATAAATAAATAAATAAATAAAATAAAATAAAATAAAATAAAATCTGAAAAAATTTTAAAAATGCAGATTCTAATTTGGTAATTCTGGGGTGGGACCTGAGATTCTGCATTTCCAGGTGATGCTGATGCTTGGTCCTCATGGTACTTGGAATAGTAAGCCACTCTAAGTGGACTGTGGCAAGCTGGTCTGTGAGTCCCATCACTAGTTTTTGTAAATACAGTGTTATTGGAGTAGAGCCATGTCCATTACGGTATTGTCTGTGGCTGTTTTTGCACTACAACACCAGAATTAAGTAGTGGCAATGGAGACCATATGGCCCTCAAGCCTAGAACATTTACTATCTTGCCTATATAGTAAAACTTCTCTAGTCTCCACTCTAGAGCAGATTGAATATTGAAAGGAAAAAAGATCAGGAAATCAGAAATGAAACCAACCCCAAAATATAACAGTAAGGATCTCAATCAAGGTGTGCTTTGAAGAAAAATGGCAACTGTTATTGTCATCACGTTTGAACCTTCGCTTTGTACCAAGTGCCTGGCTGACAAGCATTTTACGTGTCACAGCATCTTACTGAGTGTGGGATTGTTATTCCAGTTTTACAGATGAAGACAAGACTTAGAGGCACTAAGTGACTTGTCTGAGGTCACTTAGCTACTGAGAGGTTAGAGATGGGAATTGAGTGAAGTCTAGCTTTGAAGCCTTAGCTCTCTTTATGTCCTGGCACTTCGCCGGGTTAGGAAGTTATCCCCTGTACTATTTTAAAAGAGACTAACAGGAGCCAAGGCGAGGATTCATCAGGCCTGTTTTGTAGAACCCACTGTCTCTGCAGCTCTGCTCCCTACCAGTCTTCTGTCCTGAGTAAAGGAGACATACTGTCCTGTGCCTGCACAACACTCAGCACCTCCACGCTCGGTTTCCCTATCTAAGGGAGTTGGATGAATCCAGCCTTTCTGACACTACCATTCAGAGGATCGTGTGACTTTGCTGGCAACAGCATTCTTTTTGGTTTAGAGGCATCAGGAAAGGGATAGGACATTCTCATCTTCCTTCCATCTGAACTGCATTGGCTTTTTTGCTTCTTCTATCTTTGTTCAGGCCTGATTTGGGTTTTGGGGTTTTTTTTCAAAGATTTTATTTTATTTATTCATGAGAGACACACAGAGGGGGAGGGGCAGAGACACAGGCAGAGGGAGAAGCAGAGGGAGAGGCAGGCTCCATGCAGGGAGCCCGATGTGGGACTCGATCCTGGGACTCCAGGATCATGCCTTGAGTCGAAGGCAGGCGCCAAGCCGTTGAGCCACCCAGGGATCCCCTGATGTGGGGTTTTTTAGTTTTGTTTTGTTTCTAAGATTTTATTTATTTATTTCGGGGGTGCAGGGAGAGCATGCAAGGATGAATAGGGGGAAGGACAGAGGGAGGGAGAGGAATAAGCAGAGTCTCCACTAAGTGCGGAGCCTGATTTGGGGAGGCCGACTTGGGGCTCAATCTCAGGACCTTGCGATCATGACCTGAGCCGAAGTCAAATGCTTAACCAACTGAACTGCCCAGGTGCCATTGGCCTGATTTTTTTTTTTTACTGACAAGATGATAAGCATCCACTGGAAGTGCTTTGCTCTCACACATGTATTTGATTTACTAATGTACCATAGATTCAGGTTTCTTAAATAGAAGCCTTCATGAAGTTATTAATGATCAGAAAGAATTATAATAATTATTCCTCAGTCTGCTTGTAAAACTTAATCTTTAAAAAATTTTTCATTTATTTATTAAAGTAAGCTTTATTCCTAACATGGGGCTTGAACTCATGACCCCAAGATCAAGAGTTGCATGCTCTTCTGATTGAGCCAGCCAGATGCCTCAACTTAAGGGGCACCTGGGTGGCTCAATCGGTTAAGCATCTGCCTTTGGCTCAGGTCATGATCTCAGGTCCTGAGATCCAGCCCTGGCTCCAGCTCCCTGCTCAGCAGGGAGTCTGCTTTTCCCTCTCCCTCTGCCTGGCCCCCTCCATGCATGCTTTCTCTCTCAAATAAATGAATAAAATCTTAAAAAAAATAAAATTTAACTTAAAGTGCTGCCAATTATTGTGAATAATGTTTGAAATAATATTATGGAATTGAGGACTCTTAAATACTAATATTTCACACAAATATGAACCAAGAAAAGCTTTATTTATTAAATTTTTGAGAGCAGGAACAAAGTATTTTCTAAAGTCTGTATAAAATGACTTGGGAAGAACTGGCTCAACTGCAGTTAATCATGGACATGTTTACAAGTGATAACTTTTGCCATATAGTTCTCACTTCCACTCATTCTTATTTTGTTGTGGATACATATTTGAAGAGGACTAACAAAGTCACATTTTCTGTGTGGCATCATGAGTTGTCCTCTCGAGCTGGGTGACGTTGCCACTCTATTCCAGTAAAAATCCATCAGTACTGACACAAGATACAAACTGTGACCTGTGGTTACTCTGATGGCACTCAAATGATCAGGGTACACTGCAGAGGGTTTCTAGATCAGTGAGAGGATCTTGAATTCAGGGAATTTTACCTTCATCTAAGTAAAAATTTAAACATAGTCTATAGCTATAGACCTTAAAAGTGGATTACAGTTAATGAACTGATCTAAAATTTCTGTCTTTAAAATATTATCCTGATTGTAGGGTCTGCTGTCCTTTTTGGAGTCATTCAATGAAGAAAAAAAGCCCTTTTTGGATATCCTGCCAATAAAAAGGACTCCGGATGAACTGAGTGAAGATCAGTTACAGTTGAGAGAAGCCTGGGATGGCCTCAACTACCAGGTTACTGTGTTACATTGATTAGAAGAGCATTTTCAAGAGGCAGCTTTGTTTGTTGGATGATCACTTTAGGCTTTCATGAGGAATTCTGTAAGAGTAGATGCTGCATCAGAAACTTGGGAGAGTGTTCTTTTATTTTCTCCATGGCATCATTTGGGTAGTGGTTGATGTTTAGTAGGAATTTATGGGATTCTGCTTAGAGAAACTGCTTAGTTTTTATAAACTAAACTAACTTTTTATAAACTAGCAAAATTTTTATATTTGCCATCAGTGATTGGTTTGCCACAGTAGATTATCCATATTCTGATCAACTTGCAGCCTCATCTCTACTTTGGACACTATTAATAGATGCCTGAAGGGGGTTAGGGACAAGCCTAGAGAGAATGTGTGAAGATGAATGTGTATGTGTGTCTGAATATATTGGTATGATTTCAGTTGTTTGCAATTTATTGAGATTTGTGGTATGACCCAGGGCATAGTGCATGTTGGTGTACATGTCATTTACAATTGAAAAGAGTATGTATTCTATAGTAATTTGATACAGCATTTTATAGATATCAGTTAAGATATAGTGGTTGATAGTGTCAGATTATCTGTGTTTTGATTGATATTTTCCTTGGTTGTTCTATCAATTGCTGAGAGAATGATGTTAAAATCTATAGGATCCTTCCTTTGATTCTGTCAAATTTTGTTTAATGTATTTTAAAATTTTGTTATTAGTTGTGTACATTCATGGTTATGTCTCCCTGATGAATTGATACTTTTATTATTATGAAATATTCCCGTTTATCTCTGGTAATATTGTTTTTCTTGATGTATACTTAATCTGTTATCAATATTATCACTCCAGTCTTATGCTGACTTAGTGGTACATCTTTTTCCTTCATTTATTTTCAATCTATTTGAGTCTTTATATTTAAAGTGTATCTCTTATGGGCAGCATATGATTGGATCTTGCTTTCTTATCCATTATGATCATTTCTGCCTTTTAATTGGAGAGTTTAGTCAGTTAATATTTAATGGAATTATTGATATTGTTCAACTGAGGTATACCATTTTATTCTTTTTTTCTGTTTATTTCCTCTGTTTTCTTTTTATCTCTATTCTTTTCCTGCCTTGCTTTAGACCATGTTAATATTTTTAGAATTTCATTTTAATTTATCTATTGGCTTTTTGGCTCTACTGCTTTCTAGCAGATTTTTAGTGAGATTACAACGTACATTTTAAAAATTTTACAGTCTACTTATATAATTTTAAGTTATCATACAACTTCTTATGTAGAAATCTTGCAATTAAATTGGTTCATTTGTCATACTTTATGCTATAGTTGCTTTATATATATATATGCCACAAACATATGTTTTAAGTCCCTAAGACCGTGTTATAAATCTTAGCTAAAAATAGTCATACATTTTAAAGATATTAAGTGAAAAAAAGCTTTTATATTTATCTAGATGTTTATCATTTTTAATGTTCCTCATCCCTTTCTAGAGATTTGAGTTTTCATCTGAACTCATTTTTTTTCAGCCTTAAAACTTTTTTTTTAGCTTATCGTATAATGCAGGTCTGGGGGAACAAATTCTCTTAGTTTTCTCTGATTTGTGAATGTCTTTATTTTGCCTATATTCTTTTTTTTAATTTTTAAGATTCATTTATTTATTTTAGAGAGAGAGGAAGAGAGAGAGAGTGCAGGCCAAGGGCAGAGGGAGATAAAGAGAATCTCAAGTGGATTCCCTGCTAAGTGTGGAACCAGATGTGGGGCTCCACATCATGATCCTGAGATCATGACCTGAGCTGAAATCAAGAGTCAGATGCTTAACCGACTGAGCCACCTAGACATTCTGCCTTCGTTCTTTTTTTTTTTTTTGACATCTTTATTGAGGTATAATTTATATACCATACAATTCATGAATATTCAACTGAAATGGATAAATTAAATGATTTTTGGTGAATTTACAAAGTTGCAACAAAGATTTTATGGTCTGCATGTCAAAAATACTCTGGCCCTGAACAAGTTTGTTGATCCCTGCTCAAGTCTCTTGGCTGTCAGGAGTGCTAGTCTGTTTCCAGAATATATTTTTCACATCATTTATGAAGGGTGTTAAATAGTCTAGTAGCTTAAACGAGCCGCCCTTTCCGAGTACCTAATTTGGGGAGAACTGGCATAGTTCTGGAAACCTTCGCACCAAGTAGCAGGTGTCATCACGTCCTCAACTTATTCTTATCACAGCTTTGAAACTGACCTTTGTGAGGTGTAGGAGCTCTTGGTTACAGGTCCTCAACAAAATGGAAGGAAAGGAAGAAGATATTGTCTATAGAGTTCATGATGTTCCAGGCCACAAAGACCTGGCCTAATTTTATTGAATATGATTTGGAAAAAGTACCCACAATAATGAGAAAAACCATTAAAAAAAACTATTTTGCAAGAGTAAGTGCTGCAAATTGATAATAGCTTGAAAATCCATTCCTTCGTAGATGTAATACAGCTCATTGCCTTGGTGTGGCAAATTAGACATATTATTTTTAAAGTCATCAGGTGTATAGCATCTAGACAGTTTCTGGTTCAGTTGTTTGAGCATATAGTTACCTCAAAACATCACAGTAAATGGTTTCATTTTGAGCCAGTTATGTAAAATAGCAGCATTATGTTATTTTGACCTGACAGGATCAGGTCAGATCAGATACAAATTTTCAACCAAATTCAAAAGTAATTTCCCAAACTAGAAAGTATGGAGCCATTTTTTTTATGGTAAATGAGAAAGAAAAGAAACAAAGTTAAATATCACCTTCTATCTTTCTTCTTCTGACCATTACATAGAGTACAGTCCTCAGGCAGAAAGCACACATTCTGTTTTATTCAAAATATATACAGCTTTCTTTCAGTTATAGAAAGATCATCAGTTGAATTAGAGCTATTGCTTTTAGCCTCTCTTTTACTCATTTATCAACTTTCTGCCTTATTTTATTCTGGCAAATGCACAAATAATTTGGATATAATAAAAGCACATATTAAAAATTCATAATAATGAAAACTTGTTTTTCTTTCTTTTCCAAGTGAAGGCTTAATTGCATATACTTAGTGATTTAAAATTGTAGTGTTGCCTGTTGCCATATGCCGTTTGAGAAGAGAAACTTGCAAGCAATCAAAGCAAAACAAAATACTACATGGTATTACTTACATGTGGAATCTTAAAAAAAATGTCAAATTCATAGAGATAGCGAGTAGAAAATTAGTTGTCAAGGATGGAGCATAGAGGGAATAGAAGTTGGTAAAAGGGTACAAACTTTCAGCTGAGTTGAGTAAGGTCACGTGATGGCCAGACTTGGTAACACTGTATTCTATCACTGAAATTTGCTAAGAACGTTGAATTTAAATGTTTTCACCAAAAAAAAAAAAAGATAAATATGTGAAGTAATGGATGTGTTAATTAACTAGATAGAGGGAATCCTTCTGCAATGTATATGTGTATCAAATCACTGTTTTACATTTTAAATCTTATGTCAATTATATCTCAATAAACCTAAAAAAAGAGCAAAAGATGTAAAAAGTATAATATTTAATGCTTCTAGTTTATGAATAGTTCCATTTGACTGCCTTAAAGAAGCCTAGCTTTTTCCTCATTTAACATCTTTATACTTGGGTATTTGCTTTCATATGTTGCTTTTTGATATTTGCCTCGCATATGGTGGTGTCTGATAAATGTTTTTCAATTAGTGATGAATCAGATAACCCTATTCTTTTAAAAATGTAATCTTGCTTTTTTCTTTCCTCGATTTAAAATTAATTTAACTTTAAGAATAGTGGCAATTCATTTAGTAGAACTATAATGGAAAGAGAAATACAGATTTAAAACTCATACTTTTTTTAAAAAAAAAAACTCATACTTTCATTAGAGCAAGTCATTTGAGTGAAACAAATTCTAATTTGTGCTTGATCTTCATGGGGGTGGATGGAATGAGAATGCTACAAAAGCCGTAATAGAACTGTGTGAGTTCAGATTTAAAAAAAAACAAAACACTCAAAAACAAACAAAGCACACTCCTAAATGGGGTCCTCATGAAAGGAGGTGGTCTCAGAGCATTTTTATCATGCTTAAGAATTCTGGGCATCTATGTTCATCTGTTCTGTTTCTTAAATTCCACATATGAGTGAAATCATATAGTATTTATTGTTCCCTGACTTATTTTACTTAGCATAATATTCTCTAGCTTCATCCACATTATTGCAAATGGCAAGATTTCATTCTTTTTATGGCTGAATAATATTCCATTGTGTGGAATATCACATCTTATTTATCCATTCTTTGGTCAATGGACATTTGGGCTCTTTCCATAATTTGACTATTGTAGATAGTGGTGCTGTAGACATTGGGGTGTGTGTATCCCTTTAAACAGCATTTCTGTATTCTTTGGGCAAATACCTAGTAATGTAATTATTGGATCTTAAGGTGGTTTTATTTTTAACTTTTAAAAAATTATTAATTTATTTGAGAGAGAGAAAGATCACACAAGTGAGGAGAGGGTTGGAGGGACAAGCAGAATCCCAACTGAATGCAGAGCCAAACTTGGGGCTTGATTCTAAGAGTCTGGGATCCTGACCTGAGCCAAAGTCAGATGCTTAACCGACTGATCTACACAGGCACCTCTCTATTTTTAACTTTTTGGGGAACCCTCATACTGTTTTCCTGAGTGGCTGCATCAATTTGCATCCCCACCAACAGTTTAAGATTTCCCTTTCTCCATCTCCTTGCCAACACCTGTTGTTTCTTGTGTTGTTAATTTTAGCCATTCTGACAGGTGTGAGGTGATATCTCATTGTAGTTTTGATTTATATTTCCCTAATGATGAGTGATGTTGAGCATCTTCTCATGTGTCTGTTAACCGTCTAGATGTCTTCTTTAGAAAAACGTCTATTCATGTCTTCTGCCCGTTTTTAAACTGGATTATTGGTTTTTATGTGTGTTGGGTTTGATAAGTCTTTACAGATTTTGGATACTAGCCCTTTATCAGATAAGTTATTTCCAAATATCTTCTCCCATTCTGTAGGTTGCTTTTAAGTTTTGTTGATTGTTTCCTTTGCTGTGCAGAAGCTTTTTATCTTGATTAAGTCCCATTAGCTTATTTTTGCTTTTGTTTCCGTTGCCTCAGAAAGTTAAGAAACAAAACACATAAGCATGGGGGGAAGGAGGGGAAGGAGAGAGAGAAACAAACCAGGAAACAGACTCTTTTTAAATAATAAGACTTTATTTATTTATTTCAGAGAGAGAGAGAGAGAGAGAGAGAGAGAGAGCACAAGTGGAGGGAAGGGCAGAGGGAGGACAAACAGACTTCCCTGCTGAGCAGGGAGCCTGATGCAGGACTCACTCCTAGGACGCTGGGATCATGACCTGAGTCAAAGGCAGATGCTTAATTGGCCGAGCCACCCAGGTGCCCAGGAAACACGCTTAAGGATAGAGAACAAACAAGGTTCTTGGAGGGGAGGTGGGCAGGAGCATGGGTTAAATGGGTGATGGGGATTAAGGAGGGCACTTAATTGTGACAAGCACTGGTTGTTACAAGTGATGGATCACTGAATTCTACACCTGAAGCTGATATTACAGTTACTATTAACTGGGATTTAAACATTTCAAGTAAAATAATTCAAATAAAAATTTGAAAGACAAAAAAGAATTAAAAATTAAAAAAAAAAAAAGAATTCTGGGCATCATTGTGGAATCAGTGTTCTTCCAGGGTCTTCCCTGAGCCCATCTGTCTGGCTCTGTTATATTGCTGACCACACTTAACTGTAATCATGTACTTTGCTTCCCCCACCAGGTGGTTCAGGCAAGATCTGTGTTTTCTTTATATTTATCTGATTGACCCTCAGATATAGAGGGTTATGTTAAACTTACTCTTCCCTTCATGGCACATGGGTCTGGGCAAGTCCCTGCTCTAACTTTTATTCACTTGTTTAATTTGTGTTTATGTCTTTCTACACCCATGCCCTCCTTCCATTTCCCTTTCTCCTTTGGCCAATCTCATGATGTGGTTAATGCGTATCTTTTTTTTTTTTTTTGTATGTTCTTACAAAATACATATTATATTTTTATGCTCATGTATTTTTAAGTTGTGTAAATTGATGTTATATATTTTCTATTTCTTAAATTTTTGAGCACGTATATTTAAAATGCCCCAGTGTTCACATGTGGATACATCTAATTTGTGTCTAACTGCTCCACTGTCCTCTGTGGTGTGCAACCACTGCATGTCCCTTCTCCATTCTAGAAGCCTTTATATCTCTATCAGCTCTTAACACAACAGATTTTTAATAAATGTTTACTGAGTGAGTGAATGAATGAATAAATGACTGTGGGAGTGAGTTTTAATGGTGCTTAGTGGGGGAAAAATCCAGGTGGAAGGGACAGCAAGAGTGAACACCTTGGGAATGCAGTCAATGTTTGGGGAAATAAGTAGTTGGCATTTGTATGACTCATGTGCCTGTAGGCAGTGGTGGGAAGGCTGAGGAAGTAAGAGGTTGAAAGGTTTTATTTATTTATTGGGGGCAGGGTGCAGGAGGAGAGGGAGAGAATCCCAAGCAGACTCTGCTGAGTGAGGAGCCTGACTCTGGGCTCGATCTCATGACCCTGAGATGACCTGAGCCAAAACCAAGAGTCAGATGCTCAACCGACTGAGCCACCCAGGTGCCCCTGAAGAAGTAAGTAAACTTTAGAAGAGTGTCTACTGAAGCACATATTATTGTTTTTTCAGATTAATGTGTGGAAAACAGAGCTGAATCATGCCTTGCCCTCACCACTGCATCAAATCGAAGCCTGGCTCCAGGAGATAGAGGGGCTTATAGATGAAGATTTTCCAGCTTCCCAGGATTACTGTGAAGCCATGGCTCTAATACAAGAGAAAATGACTTTAATCAAGGTTGGAAAATAAAAAAGAAACATGGAAAAAAATCCATGCTTTGTTAGGGACTGTTCTTGAGGAACACTTTGCCCTAGGGAGAAAGGAAGGAAATAGAGTGGGTATTTGAGGATGGTTTGGAATGATTCCCTTGGAGATTTTTGGGAGCCAGAGATACCTTTACTTTCTTCATGGGCATTGTGCCAGTTCAAGGTGGAAACAATAAGGTAGAATCTAGTAAGTTCTAAAGCAATTGTAAAGCCCAACCAAAGAAGAGGGAGGAGAATGGTTTACAATGTGAGAGATTGGGTTCTCACTAAAATGGCATGAAGGAATTTGATATGTGACATTTATAGCATGTGAACCTACAAACGAATGGAAAAGAAATCCAAAAACAAAAGATTTTGATAATGCTTTTACCAAAGAGACTATTGTCTGCCTCTCTGTAAAATGAGCCAGTTTAATGCATTTTTGATGAATACTTATTTTCAAAGTTTTTGTAAAAAAAGTAAGGGTTTTATGATTTTTTTTTTTTTTGGAAAAAGTTGCAGTGCATGCCCAGAACAAATGAGATTAACAAACCCCCAATTACAGTGTTTGGCAAGAAGTCTGTTTCATGTCATGCTAAATTTCTTTTCAGAATCTGATGGATAAATTTGATTGTAATTCCAATACTCTTCTGACATTTGAAAATGGAGATGAAGAACATTTGCCACTGGTACCACCTAAGAAATTGGAGGAAATGAAAGGACGGTTTGTAATGCTACCACTTCACAACTGTTGATACCATTCATGTTTGAGCACTAACATGAAGCTATAGGGATGAGAAAATTAGAGATTTTTAGATAATTTCTGACAAGTATGCTTTAAATCTTGATTAATAGTACCTTCTTCACATTTTATGTAACAGTAACATTATAACATGCTAACCATACTTCCTCTTTTATTGGATGGTAGGATATGGATGGTGAAAAAGTTCTGGACATGGAGTCCGAGCTCCATACTGAATTTTGATGAAGTTACTTACTCATTTACAAATGAGCATGTATCCTCATTTGTACATATAGGATAATGATAATCACCCTGTTCATGTTTCACAAGGATACTGGGTGAAGTGGGAGGAGGTATCTGAAAGCACTTTGTAAATTCCAAAATACTATAAATATAGAGATTATTTAATTGCTGTTGTCCACATCATCTTCTCTTTTCTCATCATTTGTAAGTAACTTATTAGAATAATAAGAGGGTGTTAGCCTTAATAATGAAAGCTGTTTTAATATGGAATGTTTGAAATTATAGTTGCATTCAGTTATATGAAAGTTTACAATGTAGTAAAATATTTTGGAGATTAACATTTATTGCAGGATTTTTTTCAGTAGGGGAATAGTTTCTCCAGAAAATGTTGTATTATATGTTTCCATCTCAGAAATAGTTATTTTATATTTAGCCACAATGTTTGTTTACTTTGTTTAAAAAAAAGATTTGGGGCACCTGACTGCCTACTTGGTAGAACATGCGACTCCTGATCTCAAGGTCAAGAGTTCAAGCCCCCATATTGGGTATTGTAGAGCTTACTTTAAACAAAACAAAACAAAACAAAACCAGAAGATTTGAGTATACATCTGAGTTCCATGTGTTTAAAATAAAAAGCCAAAGACCCAATATTTTAGAAATGCCAAGCAGATTACTTGCATTTGGACAATACTAAATTCTGAAACCTGCAATATTTTCCAGAATCAACAACATTTCGGGGAAAAAACTCATTCCACGTCTAGAATTTCATTACTATAAGTGCTCAGTTCTTGGTTTGCTAGATGAAGTGAAATTAAAATTGGATGTTTGGAACGTCAAATATGGGAACAAAGCATCTGTGGAATTGTTGCTGGAAGACTGGCATGTGAGCTGCTTTATTTTGTGACTTAGACAAGTATTCTGCATGTCTGGGAGCTGGGTTTGCATTCTTCCTTGGCACAATTTCCCTTCACCTTTTCAGATTTTGAGATGAGTTTTCTTGGTAGCTTTCATTAGCTTAAAATTGCCTGGAGAACAGAATTACAGGTAGTCAAATAACAGACATTGGGAGGAGTAAGAAAGAGAAAACAGCATTATTTATCTCAGCAGGAGAGAGTCAATTAGCCAGGCTAATTAACATAATAGTTAGGAAAAGTTTCAATGTTATTTTCATTAACAATTCCAACTTTCACTTACTGGATGTCTTGTTTAATATTTTTTCCCGCTCAGATTCATAGTTTCATTCAAAAATTAATATATTTTTTAGAACATTTGGTCTTAGCCTTTCAAGTTGTAGGAGTGGGAAAGACAGTACCTTTTGTCTTGAGGCATTTTTTTGGAGAGAGGGTTTAGCTCTTGCAATTTATAGGGAAAAATGTTGCAGTGATTTAAATATAAACATGTTCATTTGTAAATTAAAACAAAAGCATCCTAGAAATTTCATTTCTACAGTTAGGACTTATCATTCTTTCTATTTCCCTCTTTGGAATGAGAGGCCAAAAAGAAAAATCCCAAGATTTTGGTGCAAAAATTGAAAAACAAGATGGCGAGTGATTTATTTACAATTAATGATTTTTTTTTTAATTTATGATAGTCACACAAAGAGAGAGAGAGAGGCAAAGACACAGGCAGAGGGAGAAGCAGGCTCCATGCACCAGGAGCCCGACGTGGGATTTGATCCGAGGTCTCCAGGATCACGCCCTGGGCCAAAGGCAGGCGCTAAACCGCTGCACCACCCAGGGATCCCACAATTAATGATTTAAACACTACATTCCTGGGGCACGTGGGTGGCTTAGTCAGTTAACCATTTGCCTTTGGCTGAGGTCATGATGGAGTCCCATGTTGGGCTCCCTGCTCGACGAGGAGCCTGCTTCTCCTTCTCCTCCCTGCTCGTGCTCTCTCTTGCTATCTCTGATTCTCTCTTAAACAAAAAAAAAATTTAAATAAACACTGTGCATTCCTGAATAGAAGGCATCATTTGAAATTAGACTAGATTTTGAATATCTTTCTTTCTTTGATTTTTCATTTTTCCATTTAAATAATCATACCATTAGTGCCTAATAAGTGTAAAATAAATAGGAGCTTTTAATTAACTCTCTTTTTCCAAGGCAGAATTTGCTTGCATAGGACACATAATTTGACTATTGGTCATTTCTCAAATGTTTTTGTGTGATGGATGGTATCTATTTACAACATACTCTAATATTGCTAATAAAAATTATTCAATATTAATAATATAAGAAGTAAGAGAAACTGATATAAATGATGCAATATTAATAAATGTGTGAAATAGGAGATTTTGAAAATTCTATACTTAACTTGCCTTTTCCCACAGGAGGAAAACCACTGTAGAACCGTATCACTGCAGTAAGATAATCTTTGTCAGGTTATACCTGACATACCTACATAGTATTCATACTTGTATTTCTATCTCCTAGGTCTTAACTGTCTTTCTCCATGAACTGCTCTTCTTTTCTACCCAAATATATAGTATTAAAACCGTAAAGAAATTTTGGTGCCTAAGTGCTTCATCAATATTTATGTCTTTATATAAATGTCTTAGCTCATTTTTAATAGTAAAAAACTGTCAATATATTTTTTCCTTTCCCCTCCCAGAAATTTATTGAAGAAAAAGAGTTCCTAGCTCAACTTGAATCTTCCTTTCAAAAATGTGAAGAAATCCATAAAAATTTAGGTAAAGCCATACAGTTATTTTTTGATGGAATCACTTAAAAGTAGCATTTTCCATTTCACTTTCTTTATACCTTAATGTTCTAGAAATTGGTTTTACATATGTGTTTTGTTTGGAAAATTCTTGCATTCACTTTTAATATTGTCAGAGTACATATTTATTTTACCACTGTCAATTAATATGCAAATATTTTTCTTAACAGTATTTTATTAATAATAAACTGTTTTCTGAGATTACTTTCTTGTTTTGTCACCATTATAGCTGGACAACATCAGGATATTAGTGAACAATATACAGCGGTGGAACATAACATTTGTATGTATAGAAAAAATATATATAATGTGAAATCCACTCTACAAAAAGTTCTGACATGTTGGGCTACTTATGTGGAAAATCTTCGCTTACTCAAGGCTTGTTTTGAGGAGACAAAGAAGGAACAGATGAAAGAGGTATTTTCATTTTCAGTCTACTGGTGCCTCCTCAATATTACTTTCTTTTTTTCATTTTGTTTGGAGATCTTCATTTTCAATCCAAAAATGAGAGGCCAGGGAACAGTTAGCATGATTTGTAGCAAAATTCTTCAAGGTGTTGAAATGAGTTTAGTTTCTTTCTAATATAATTGCCAAAAGGAAGTTTTCTTCTGATCACAGGTTTACACACACACCACACACACACAACACACAACAGAGTATAGCTTTTGAAAGATATATTGCTAAGTTCTTTGGAAAGAAATAAAAGACTGGGAGTATTTGATAGCTTATAGATAGGTAATAAAATAAATTGATATTTTAAATTTTATTTTTCTATTTGGGTGAATACCTTTCAGCTCTAAAATCTACTTGAGTTTCTAGAGGAAGAAAATGCAAAATATCTCAGACCTATGGAAGAAATTTCAATGTAATTCATGATTGTTTTCATTTGCTAGTCATGTAAAAATCAGTTTTATGATTATTCTCTGAGGTAGCTTTTCTTTCTTTCATTTGTTTTCCTCTGTTGCATATGGATATAGACAGCCTCTCAGATTAAACATTTTCCAAATAGAAGGTAAAGGTGCTCAGCTGAAAATGGGCTGTTTATATGAAAGTAAAATTTGTGTTAAGTATAGGAATGCAAAAAGCATACTTGAGGGATTAGTGAGTCATTCTTCCTGTCAGCTATAGTGATACTAGCAATCCAAATCTTTGACTTTCAACACTTCTTCTAAGATATTTTTTTTTAGTTTTTATTTAAATTTTAGTTGGTTAACATACTGTGTGATATTAGTTTCATTGGTACAATATAGTCATTCAACACTTTCATACAGCATCCAGTGCTCATGAAGACAAGTGCCCTCCTTAACCTCTCTCACCTATTTCCCCCATCTCCCAGGCCCTCTCCCCCTCTGGTCACCATCAATTTGTTCTCTATAGTTAAGAGTCTGTTTCTTGGTTTCTCTCTTTCTGTCCCTTAGCTCATTTGTTTTGTTTCTTAAATTCCACATATGAGTGAAATCATATGGTATTTGTCTTTCTCTGCCTGACTTATTTTGCTTAGCATAATACTATTTAGCTCCTTCCATTAAAGATCTTTTATGAAAATTCACATAACTGAGAAAAATAACACATTAAGCCTTGCAGTTCCCAAACTCTGTGCTGAGGTACTCTGAATTGCCAAAGAGGACTTTCAAGATAATTTAAATTTTGAGGGAGACGCTGTATCAGTCTGTTGGATATCATGCAGCAAAAAACTACCAAGTGGTTTGGACCCACTTGAAAATGAGACCACAAGATGAATCTTCTGTCCTAAGGAATCTATGAAAAAATTACTGAGACATTTAGGGCACCATGAACTAATAAATGCTTGAGAACCTTTGCTCTAAGTTCATTAGCCACTTAGAAAGAACATCAGATGCTTCCTAAAAGTTCAGGACCAGGAGTGATGACAGACAGCTGATGCCTGCCAATTAGTGATTAGGAATGAAGAACTAGTCCAACAAGGAAGAGAAGGGTTAGAATATCTGCAAAAACCCATACTCATTTTTGCTGAGAATCAACCTTGGTAAAGATCTATTGTAGGTAATGGAAAGACGTTATGTCATTAAATGTGTTGCTTATATGTTGTGTAGGTTCCCTTTGAGACACTATCGCAATGGAATAGAGAACATACTACTTTAAATGAAGTGGGAAATTTCTTAATTCAAGTCAGTAATGATGAAGTTGGATCCTCTATTTCTAAAGAACTGAGAAGGCTGAATAAAAGATGGAGAAAATTTATTACAAAAACCCAGCTTGTAAGTTTTTTTATTTTTGTTTATTGGTAACAGTTTCATTGAAATATAATTCCCATGCCATACAGTTCACTCATATAAATTATGTGACTCAGTGGTGTTTAGTATATTCAGAGTTGGGCAGCCATCACCGTCATTAATTTTAGAACACTTTTATCACCTACTAAAGAATCTCCGTACTCATTAGCAGTCACTTCCCACTTTCTCCCAGCCTTCCCAGCAGCCACTAATCTATTTCATGTCTCTATAGATTTGCCTATTCTAGATATTTCATGGAGATAGGATCATATAATATCTGGTCTTTCATTTCTCGTCTCTTTAAACTTAGGGTAATGTTTTCAAGGTTTTTCTGTGTTGTAGCAGGTTTCAGTATTTCATTTCTTTTTATGGCAAATAATAATCTACTGTATGGATAACCAACATTTTATTTATTCAGTGATCACTTGATGCACAATGGCTTCTTTCCACACTCTTAACTATTATAAATAATGCTGCTGTGAACATTTATGTACAAGTTTTTGTGTGGACATTTCTAGTTGAAATTCATTTGCTATTATAGAACAACATAAGCATTTTTTGCCTACAGATTTCAAGCTCCTTGAGAACATACACTGAGCTTTATATAGCTTTTACATTTATAAAAAGCAGGCTTTTAATAAATAATTTTTGAACTTCATTAAAATTTTCTATTTCTTAATAATAATTTGAGACTGAGGTGTTTTATGGGAAATGCTCATACTTTATAATGTTGTTACTAAGTGATAAATCCCAGAAATATATTGAATATATTATGTCCAATTGTTGATAATAATATATCTTTACATTAAAAAATATGGGCTTTAAATATTTGACTTTTTTTTATAGGACATGAACCTGCCACTTATAAAAAAACAGGATCAGCCCAATTTTGACAATTATGAAAATACTCAGCTATCTAAAGAAGAGAAAACCAACTGTTGATTTTTCAACAGATATGTCCATAGAACTTCCTGAAAATCATAATGAGAATATAAAGGTAAAATAGTCATACTTTATGTATTTTATTTGTCTATAGAAATAGCTGGGCTATTAAAATTTTTTTTAAGATTTTATTTATTTATTTGATAGAGTGAGAGAGAGAGAGCATAAGCAGGGGCAGGAGCAAAGGGAGAGGAAGAAGCAGACTCCCCACTGAGCAGGAAGCCCAATGTGGGGCTTCATCACAAGACCCTGGGATCATAACCTGAGCCAAAGGCAGATATTTAACTGACTGAGCCACCTGGATGCCCCTGAAAAAAATTTTTTGAGTACATTCCACACCCAGCATGGAGCCCAATAAGGGGCTTGAACTCATGATCCTAAGATCAAGACCTGAGCTGAGGGATCCCTGGGTGGCTCAGCAGTTTAGCGCCTGCCTTCAGTCCAGGGCGTGATTCTGGAGTCGTGGGATCAAGTCCCACATGAGGCTCCCTGCATGGAGCCTGCTTCTCCCTCTGTCTGTATCTCTGCCCCTCTCTCTCTGTGTGTCTCTCATGAATAAATAAATAAAATCTTAAAAAAAAAAAAGACCTGAGCTGAAATCAAAGAGTCACATGCTTAACCAACTGAACCACTTAGGGGCCCCAACTTGGCTATTTTTCTTTTGATAAAACCATATTGTTGAAACAATGGTAAATGTAATTATTGAATAACATTCAAAGTATGGTCATTTTCCACTAGAATGCTTTAGTGGATGCCTTCACAAAGGAGTCTTCAGGATTCAAGTCTGTGTCTCTCACTTGCTGAGGAGTTTCACAGACATGCAGAAGCAGTCATGACTTCTGAGCTGTGGAAACAAAGTTGATGTTTTCTGCAGATGACTTTTGACTTGTGCTCAGGGATTGTCCAGCTTTGGTCTAGCCTCTGGCCTGTGTCTTGCTTCCTTTCTCTACAGTGGGGGACAATATAGTTTTTATTTCTTGTTTGGTTGGATAATTTGGAGGATGGCTTTAGATTATAGAGAAGACTATGGAACCAAAAAAATCAAACACATGTAAGATATAATGCCTGTGATTTGGGAAATGTGCCTTCTTCTGAATAATAATGAATCCAACTTCACTTTATATAACTTTTCACTGGCTTTAGCCAGTTGCTGTGATGGAGTGCCAGTGTTTCCCACCATAAGGAGACCTGATCAGAGAAAAATCTTGAAAAATCTTAAGTTGTCCAATATGCTTTTAGAATATAAGAATGTAATAATGCAGAATACTATATTCCTTTAATACATTTAAGATATGAGCTGATTAAAAAAAAGATATGAGCTGATTAACAACAACTTTAAGAATGTATCTATTGTGTAAAGTGTAAAGATGTAGCATAACAACCTATGGGTTACTTAGGGATTATTAATAGGAAAAGGCTTAATTGTGTTGAAACTGGATTCTGAGTCTCTTAGTGATGTTTTGCAACTGCTGTTGCTCAGAGTTATATTTAATTAAATTGCATATGAGTTTTAGAAATAGCTATAGAGTCATTACCCTAATTTTCTAACCTTTAATCTTTTTATCTATGAAATGGAGATGAGAGTAACTAAATGATAGGAATGATGCCCTCATTAAGAAAATATCTGTGAACAAATGTTTTATTTTTTTTAAGGTGATAAATATGATCATAAAGTGCTATTATCATTGTTCAAAAACTAGGTTTTAAGTTACTATGTTGAATTGGCAATATTCAGGAAAAAAGATTTAACTTTTTTTTTTAACTGAAAATTATTTTATACTGTGACTGTTGCCATCTTCTTAGTGATAATTTTGAATGTTGTAACAGGCTGGGGAAGAACGTGAAAAAGAAAATGAATTCACAGGGCAACTCAAAGTGGCTGAAGAGGTTGAAAAACTTATTGGACAAATGGAAATCTGGGAGGCAGAAACCAAATCTCTTTTGGACATTCTGAGGCGTCAAGAGGGTATAGATGCCTCAGTGGAAGAATCTTTGCAGGTATGAGTGTAAAAGTATTAAAAGGACATATTTCTTAGTTGTACACTTATGTATTAAGATAAATACAAGATTTTAAAGTAAATAGTAATAGGAGGCACCTGTGGCAAAGTCTGTTGAGTGTCTGACTCTTGATTTTGTCTCAGATCATGATCTCAGAGTCCTGGAATTGAGCCCCATGTCAGGCTCTGCACTCAGTGGGAAGTCTGCTTGAGATTCTCCCTCCCTCTGCCCCTCCCCCTGCACACTCTCTATTTCTAAATAAATAATAAATAAGATCATAAAAAAATGTAGTAGGACTACTGCTTGATTTTCTTTGTTTAGAGGTTTAAAAATTGCATGAAGTGTCATCCCTGGATCATTTGCTGAGATTTTGCTTGAAGACTGAGGATAGATTAGGAGACCATTAATAATACCTTATGAGTCTCAGTTCTTGAACTAATATTCCCCACTACAGAATGGAGATTAAAATATTCTCTTGTTTCCAGGGGCAGTAAGGATATGTCAGATAGGTCAGTGCAATGTGGGCATAAGGGATTATACAATCTATGCTTTGAAAGCTCACCCATTGATTAAGCTACTTTTCCTTCCTTCCTTGATTTAGGGAGGGTGACGGATGTTGTTAAAACCTTTCTGTCTTTATTCTTTGGCAGTCCGACTCATTGAAAAGCAATGAGGCAAGAGTCTGTTTTAATATCATTCAGTTCTCCTGGGAAAGAAGTTACAATTGAGGTTTTTACTGAGTTCCAGCTCAGCTATAAAACTTATGGGGCATGTCATAAATTACAACAAGATGGAAAGTTCCTGGAATAAAGGAATATTTATGTAATTCTTTTAAGTCCAAACTTCTGAAAGGTGTATATATAGTATTTTGCATTCTCATGGTATATAAGAATGGTATTTTTATTGCTTTGAAAATATTATATAAACTTAACTGAGCCATCTGCCAGTGCTTTTATTTATTTCTATTTTTATATTTATTTATTTGCTGTATCTGGAATTTATTTTAGTGAAAGAAATGAGGAATGAGAAATTCAATATCTTAAAGATATTTCAAAACAAAAAGAATGGTCCCTCTTATGAACAGTGAAAATTAAAAAAAAACAGTGAAAATATAAACATACTGGAATATACTTATATTAACAAGGAATTAAGTAGATCTTTATTAGAGCAAGATACATGGTGAAGTAAGAAATGCAAATTGCTGAGCAGTACAGGTGATATGATTTTTTTTTAAATGTTTTTAAAACAGTTGCTTTTTAAAAAAATTTAAATTCTAGTTAGTTGACATACAGTTCAATATTGGTTTCAGGAGTAGAGTTCAGTGGTTCATCATTTACATATAACACCAGTGCTCATCGTAACAAGTGCTCTCTCTAATACCCATCACCCATCTTGCCCATTCTCCACCCACCTTCTTCCATCAATGTTGTGTTTGTTCTCTGTAAAGAGTCTTCATGATATGTTTCCGTCCTCTCTCTTTTTTTCCCTTCTGAAATGGTCATCCATTTTGTTTCTGAAAGTCCACATATGAGTATAATCATGCATTTGTCTTTCTCTGATTGACTTATTTCACTTATTATAATACACTCTAGCTCCATCCACATTGTTGCAAATGGCAAAATTTCATTCTTTTTGATGACTGAGTAGTATTCTATTATATATCTACATCTGCACATATATATACACCACATCTTTTCTATCCATTCATCAATTGATGGGCATTTGGGCTCGCCCTATAGTTTGACTATTGTTGATAATACTACTATAAATATCAGGGTGCATGTACTCCTTCAAATGTGTATTTTTGTATCCTTTGGGTAAATACCTAGTAGTGCAATTACTGGATCATAGGGAAATTCTATTTTCAGCTTTTTGTGGAACTTCCATACTATTTTCCAGAGTGGCTGCACCAGTTTGCATTCCCACCAACAGTGCAACAGGGTTACCCTTTCTCCACACCTCACCAACGCCTGCTGTCTTCTGTGTTGTTAATTTTAGCCATTCTGACAGTTGTGACATGGTATTTCATCACAGTTTTGATTTGTATTTCCCTGCTGATGAGTGATGTTGAGCATAAAATGGTTGCTTTTTGATTACATGCTACTATATGTGGAAAACCCAAAAGACTCTACCCCAAAGTTGGTAGAACTCATATAGCAATTCAGCAATGTGACAGGATTCAAAATCAATATGCAGAAATCAGTTGCATTTCTATACACTAACAATGAGACTGAAGAAAGAGAAATTAAGGAATCGATCCCATATACAATTGCACCAAAACCTGTAAGATACCTAGGAATAAACCTAGCCAAAGAGGCAAAGGATCTGTACTCTAAAATCTACATAGGGATGCCTGGGTGGCTCAGCAGTTGAGCATCTGCCTTTGGCTCAGGGCATGATCCCAGGATCCGAGATTGAGTCCCACATTGGGCTCCTTGCAGCAAGCCTACTTCTCCCTCTGCCTGTGTCTCTGCCTCTCTTTCTCGGTGTCTCTCATGAATAAATAATAAAACCTTTTTTTTAAAAAAAAGAACTACAGAACACCTATGAAAAAATTGGGGAAAGCATAAAGAGATGGAAAAGCATTCATTCCATGCTCATGGATTGGAAGAACTATTGTTAAAATGTCTATGCTACCCAGAGCAATCTACACATTCAACTCAATCCCTATCAAAATACCATGGACATTTTTCACAGGGTTAGAACAAATAATCCTAAGATCTGTATGGAACCAGAAAAGACCCCGAATATCCAGACAATTCCTGGCTATTCCTCAGGGGCGTCATAATGCCTGATTTCAAGCTATATTACAAAGCTGTGATCTCAAGACATCATGGTACTGGCACAAAACAGACACATAGATCAATGGAACAGAATAGAGAACTCAGAAATGGACCCTTAACTTTATGATCAACTCATCTTCGACAAAGCAAGAAAGAACATCCAGTGGAAAAAAGACAGTCTCTTCAATAAATGGTGTTGGGAAAACTGGACAGCCACATGCAGAAGAATGAAACTAGACCATTCTCTTAAATCCATACACAAAGATAAACTCAAAATGGATCAAAGACCTAAATGTGAGATATGAATGTATCAAAAATCCTAGAGGAGAACATAGGCAGCAATTTTTTTTGACCTTGGCCACAGCAACTTCTTGAAAGACGTGTCTTTAAAGACAAAGGAAACAAAAGCAAAAATGAACTGTTGGGACTTCATCTGGATAAAAACCTTCTGCACAGTAAAGGAAACAGTCAACAAGACCAAAAGGCAATGTATATAATGGGATAAAATATATGCAAATGACATATCAGATAAAGGGCTAGTATCCAAAAATCTATAAATAACTTATCAAACTCAATACCCAAAAAACAAACAATCCAGCAAGAAATGGGTAGAAGACATGGACAGACATTTCTCCAAAGAAGACATGCAAATGGCCAACAGACACATGAAAACATGCTCCACATCACCTGTCATCAGGGAAATACAAATCAAAACCACAATGAGATACTACTTTACACCAATTAGAATGGCTAAAATTAACAAGACAGGAAACAACAAGTGTTGGTGAGGATGTGGAGAAAGGGGAACCCTCTTACAGTGTTGGTGGGAATGCAAGCTAGTGCAGCCACTCTGGAAAATAGTGTGGAGTTTCCTCAAGAAGTTAAAAATAGAGCTACTCTATGACCCAGCAAATGCACTACTGGGTATTTATCCCAAAGATACAGAGGAAGTGAAATGAAGGGGCATCTGCACCCCAATGTTGATAGTAGCAATGTCCACAAAAACCAAACTGTGGAAGGAGCTGAGATGTCTTTTGACAGATGAATGGATAAAACAAACAAACACACACACACACACACACACACACACAATGGAATATTATTCAGCCATCAAAAAGGATGAATACCTACCATTTACATTGATGTGGATGAAGCTGAAGGGTATTATGCTAAGTGAAATAAGTCAATTGGAGAAAGACAATTATCATATGGTTTCACTGATATGTCGAATATAAAAAATAGTGCAAGGGACCATAGGGTAAGGGGAGGAGACTGAATGCGGAAAAATCAGAGAAAAACACAAACCATGAGGGACTCTTAACTCTGGGGAACAAACTGAGGAATGCTGAAGGGGAGGAGGGGGTATGGGGTTACTGGGTGATGGATATTAAGGAGGGCACACGATGAGATGAGCAATGGGTGTTAGACACAACTGATGAATGATTGAAAACTACATCTGAAACTAATGATGTACTATATGTTGGCAAGTTGAATTTGCATCAATAAAAATAAATTAAAAGTTGCTTTTTCATATTTTATGCTTTTTTTATCCATAGAAAACTGTGCATCATTTAAATGTTCTACAATTAGTACATTCATTTATAATTTTAATTTTTTCTTTTTTTAATTATAAAAATAACAAAAGCTCAAATAAAAAACTCAAGAATGGAAAGGTACTAGTTTCTATTTTATTATACTCATACCAACAATAAATTGTAATTAAAATCTTTTTGCTGATTTGATAACTGCAAAGGGGCACCTTGTTATTATTTTAATTTGTAGTTATTTAATTGCATGTAAAGTTGAACTATCTTTTTGTGTATTAATCAGCCATTTGTTTCTGTGAATTATCTGTTCATGTGTTTTCTGAATTTTCTGTGGGATCTTAGATCTTCTCTTATTGAATTTATAAGCTCTTTGAGTCATGACACGTTTTCATTTATGTGGCAAGTATTGTTACCAAGTTGTTGACTTTAAGTTGTTTATTTTACATAGAAAATTTTTATATTTATGTTCCTACTCTTACCCCTAAAAAGCCCCCTTCCTACCCATGAAAACTGAGAGTAGATCAGTTTTCATGGATAATTTCTTCTGTTTTGTAGTTTCCTACTTTTTTTTTTTAAATTTATGATAGTCACACACACACACAGAGAGAGAGAGAGAGAGAGGCAGAGACACAGGCAGAGGGAGAAGCAGGCTCCATGCACCGGGAGCCCGACGTGGGATTCGATCCCGGGTCTCCAGGATCGTGCCCTGGGCCAAAGGCAGGCGCCAAACCGCTGCGCCACCCAGGGATCCCTGAAATTTATTTTAGGTATGCTGTAGAAGCATGGTTCAAAAAGATTTCTTTTCCAATAGCCATTTTCTCCAGTAACACTTATTGAATTTCCTTCCAACTGATTTGACCTAGAACAACTTCATTTTAAGGTTTATTACTACCCTCTCAACTTATTTTCTGTCTATTGGCATTGTATTAATTACTTCTAGGCTTTAGTTTATTGAAGTACTTACTGTATAAAGAATAATCTGTGCAAGACTATGTTTCTCAGAATCTGTACTAATATAAAGTTTCAAAATGAATTTTTATTTTATTATTTTTAAAAAGATTTTTATTTATTTATATGAGAGTGAGAAAGAGAAAACATGAGTGAGGGGGAGGGGCAGAGGAAGAGGGAGAGCAGACTCCCCACTGATCAGGTAGCCCGATGCAGGGCTAGATCCAAGACACTGAGATAATGACGTGAATTGAAGGCAGACACTTAACTGACTGAGGCACCCAGGTACCTCCAAGATGAATTTTTAAAATAATATTTTGAAAGTACAAGTTTACCTCATTTTGGATGAATAATTAACTTATGATTTCCTGATGAGATTAAGGGTAATGTTTAACATATATTCAGAATATTTGCTATGGCCTCATTTTGTTTTAATAGCATCTTATTGCCAAAGGCTCTATGTACGAAGAGCTAGTCTCTAGAACCGAAGATACCTTACAAATGGATGTGCAAAATATTTCAAGCCAGGAGTCCTTGCAACATGTTCTCACAGTTGGGCTTCAGACAAAGATTCAAGAAGCTAAAGAGAAAGTTCAGGTCTCTTTTTAATATTTCCTATTTAGTGAATTAGTCTTTAAAACTGAGTGGTCTGTGGGAGGAGGGGGATGTGGGGGGAGGGATTGCCCTGGAGGTTGGAAATGTTTTGTAAAATATTACTTTTGTATTATACATATGTGTTTTAAATAATTTAGAGTATATTAGAAATATTAATATAATAAATAGGATATTCTATGTCTAGCGGGAAAATGAGAGTTACTACTAAAAGAATATATTTATTATTTTATGACTTATTAAAAAGTTGGGCCAGGTGTTGAGAATTTTTTTTTTTTGTCTTTGCAGATCAACATGGTAAAATTAATTGCAGTGTTAAAAAACTCAACTGATGCTTCACCAAACTTGGATGTCAGGCTGAGGGTGGAGGAATCACAGAAGGAACTTGAATCATATATGACAAGGGCTGAGCAATTACTTGGACAAAAAGAAAGCCGGAGTGGACTGATTTCAAAATACAAGGTGGGACTCTCAACCATCAAATGTAGGCTATTTGTTACTACCTACCTATCTCAATGGGGATCAAGATATTTTCATCACCGTAATTATACACAAAATTATCGTAACTTTAAAATTTTTCCCAGTTTTATATGTTGTTCCCAGGAATTATTAAAAATATACATTAGCATGAAGAATTTTTTTCTTTTTCTTTTTTTAAGATTTTATTTATTTATTCATGAGAGACGCAGAGAGAAAGAGTCAAAGAAACAGGCAGAAGGAGAAGCAGGCTCCATGCAGGGAGCCCAGTGTGGGACTTGATCCTGGGACTCCAGGATCACACCCTGAGCCGAAGGCAGATGCTCAACTGCTGAGTCACCCAGGCAACCATGAAGAATTTTTTCAATTTAAATTTTATCATGGACCTACTGAATAGACTCAGTGGTAGAGTGTCAAGAGCATAGCTGATTCTAACATACTGAGCATGAATTTAATTTCTCTTGGTTTTTAAATTAGTAAAATGGGCATAATAATTCCAGCTGCTAAATTTGTTGTGAGACTTTAAATGAAAATAAGACAAATAAAGGGACTTGGAATAGGTAAAATTCTCTGAATGTAAAATAACACTTTTATTGTTAAAATGCTTTGATTGAAGTTCTTGATGGATATATGCTACGGACAGATAAAGTTCCAATGATGTTCTCTATGGAGACAGTTTCAGGTTGCTTTTTTCTGGTTTGATAGGCAGCTGAAGATGTGTGCAAACCAGAGTCACTATTAATTAACACCATGAGAGGTGCTTGGGGGTATATAAAGTAAAAATAAGACAAAGTCTCTACCACTGGACACATCAGAGAGATAGAGTGATATGTGTCCTTTCGTTCATTAATTTATTCAACATTTCCCATACTTACTGAATATTTAAAATGAGTTAGGTGGGATGCCTGGGTGGCTGAGTGGTCAGGCATCTGCCTTTGGCTCAGGTCGTGATCCTGGGGTCCTGGGATGGAGTCCTGCAGGGAGCCTGCTTCTCCCTCTGCCTGTCTCTGCCTCTCTCTGTGTGTCTCTCATGAATAAATAAATAAAATCTTTTTTAAAAACTTAAAAAATAAGATGAGTTAGGCATCTGGGGGCACCGCCCTGACTCTTTAGAGAAGGAACCTCTTTATTCTCGTTGTGGCCTCCTTCACTTTTCTGGGCCTTAGTCCTCTTGTAGCTTTCTGGATTGTGAACCAGACTGGACCTGTTATTAGCCATCTCAACTCTGCTTTTCCCATGACCTCCAAGCCTGATTTATGCTGTTTGCATGTTGCTAGTCACCACCTTTGACAAGTTACCTTTTTGTTTTTTTACTACTCTATTCCCAGGTTGCTGAGAGAGCTAAACTGACCTTACAGAGTCAATGGTTCTCATAAATAATCAATAGGCTGGATGTCAGGGTGCTGCTATGGTCAACTTAGGAGAGGCAGAAGGCAGAGAAACCATGGAGGCTCCAGGCCCCTTCTCTACCAGAGAGGGGAGGTAGAGGTGTCAGCCTGGCACCGTTTTCCTCCTCCTGACCCCCTGACTTTTAGAGTTGGAGGCAGGGCTTCCCCCTCCTTTTATCGCTGGCATTTAGTAAAGTAGATCCATTTTCACAACCAAAGCAAGATCCCTGCCCTGCCAGGTCCTGCCCTGAGACCCCTGGGACTCCAGGAACATGGGAATAGTAGGAGCCTCCTGCCAGCATATAGGCTGAGAGTATCTCCCTAGGTCATCAATCTAGCAATCCTCACAGAGGCCTTTGAAGAGGGTCTGTGGCTCAGCATCGTGCCTTTTCTGTAGTAGGCCCCTAATGTTAGGAGGGCACAAGCGAATTTCCACTCTGCTTAATTGCCTTATTCCTTAGAATGACAACTGTCTTCTGCTACCTGTAGGTTTTTCTGCCTCTTTCATAAGCCCCAACTATTCTTTTTTCTGTCATTTGCTAGTTAAGTAAACTAGGTCTCTGGCAGGTAATTGCCAGTCATACTCCATAAGAGCAGGTAAGTGTGAGGTAAGGAGCAGATACATCTCTGTCCACTGCTGCTCTCTCTCTGGGGCAGGACTGCTAGTGTGGTTGGCCCTGGGCAAAACTTTGAAGTTGATGATAAGGTAATGGTGACTTGTTACAGCATAAAAATGCATATGCACAAGATTAAATCTTTTCCTATTAATCCTACCATGAATTGTGTCTCATTGCAACACTAATGTCTAATACTTGCTAGCATATTCTTCATATTGTTTTGTTAATGAAGTATGGTCCTCCGCTCACCAGTACTTAAGAATTTTAGAGGAAACAGTGCCAGTGGCTCATTACCCTGAACAATAATCCTTTTAATTATTTATCAGAGGGGTAATGAAAGTCATTTTCAATATTCTAAGGAAGACTATGTGGTCCTCAAATGCCTAACTACATTTGAATAATAAGTATTTTGCAATTCTTTTCAAAATAATTGAAAAGAGTTGCAAAAGGAATATCAACCTTCCTTTACAAAAAGTCTCCCCTAAATCTTCATAGTCTTCAAAAAGTCCTTTCCAGGACACTTGGGTGGCTCAGTGATTGAGAGTCTGCCTTTAGCTCAGGTCGTGATCCTGTGGTCCCGGGATCGAGTCCCACATTGGGCTCCCTGCATGGAGCCTGCTCCTCCCTCTGCCTGTGTCTCTGCGCGTCTCTTTCTGTGTGTCTCATGAATAAATAAATAAAATCTTAAAAAAAAAAAAAGTCCTTTCCTAGTTGTGCCTATAAAAGGCCTACCAAAATTAGCTTGGAGGACGTGGCAGTGGAATGGGGCTTTCATGTTTCCATTTGTATTCTCTTTTTTAGGAAGCACTAATAATTCTTAATTCTAAAAGTCTGGTCAAGTATTTGAAAGCTGTTGAAGAACTGAAAAATAATGTAACCGAGGATGTGAAGCTATCTTTGGAAGAAAAGAGTAGAAGTGCCTGTGCCAAGTGGGAGGTAAGAACATGCACGTGGATTGGAGGTTCTGCTTCTAGATCTGCCCCTGGGGTTGTTTGTCTCCAGTCATGGCTGGCAGTTCTCCTGTGTTCTTGGCATCACAGCGACACTGATCCTGCGGTTCCCAGGCACCAGCTGGCTTCTATGTTCAGCCAATGACACCACGGTTTAAAGATTAGAGAGTGATTGGTGGGGAAGAAGGGAGAGTCCAAAGTGAAAGTCCTTCTCTGGGACAGTGTCTCTGGCAGCTGTATCTCCCCTGGCTGTGGGTTTCATGGTTCCAGTTTCTGATGACCCTTCTGTCTGGGCTCCTCCGAAGCCTCCAGCCCAGCAGTAGTAGCAGCCTCATGGCAGTGCTCTTCTCTGGATTGCCTTATGGTCCCCTCTCTGACTTCTCTGCATTTTCATCTCTTGCATAATCAGTTCTCTGCATTTAGTTCACTCTGAGTTAAATATTTCGTGTTTCTTGGGTCCCTAGTTGGATCCCAACTGAGACAACATATCAACACACACACACACACACACACACACACACACAAACACACACATAGAGTTTCCTAGTGAAGTAGGCGTGGGCCTTAGTGGCAGACAGACCTAGGTTCCCCCAGCTAGACCCTGGGTAAGTTGTTTAACTTTTAGGAAGTTCACGGATAAAGTGGGGATAACCCCAACTACTTGGCATGATTATTGCAAGGATTTATCTAAGGCCCCTGCCACAGAGATTGTGTTTAATAAAGAGTGATTCATATTCAGTGTGTGTGTCTGGAGAGAGGGAGGGAGAAAATAAGGTAATATAATTGAATGTCTACTATTAAAGATGTTCTTAAAACACATTTAAAAAAACTTTTAAATTTTAGAGCAATTTTAGATTCACAGAATTATTATAAAGATAGTGTAGGGAGTTCCAGTATACCCCATGCCCAGTTTCTCCGATTATCATCATCTTACGTTAATATATTACCTTTGTCACAATTAATGGACTAATATTGATACATTATTTACTTCCATTTATACTTTATTCATATTTCCACAGTTACTGTCTTTTTTTCCTACTTCAGAATCCTGTCCTGGAGACAAAATACATTTCTGTGCTATTTCTCAGCTCTGTGTTTTGTATACATTTTTTCTATGTCTGCAGCTGGCTTTCTGTTCTCTTAACATGTCTTTCATAGCTAACACACATTTTTAGTTGTTAGAAAGAAAAAGAATATACATTTCTGGATCTGGTATATTTTAAAACGTCCTCCCCAAAGACACAAGGACAAACCAAAATGCCATTAAAATTTTCTTTCTATCTTTTGTTACTGCAAATATTTTTATTGGGTTTTTGATGAAAATCTTTTCAATGTATTCTTTGCCCATAGTTACCGTGTGCCTCTGTGGGCATCTTTTCTTTTCTTTTCTTTTCTTTTCTTTTCTTTTCTTTTCTTTTCAGTCTCTTCATCAAGAGATGTCTTTGTATATTCAACAACTGAAAATAGACATTGAAAAGGAGAAACTCAATGACAATATTTCAAAACTTGAAAAACAAATAAATAAAGAAAAGAAACTAATCCGCAGAGGGAGGACCAAGGGTCTCATCAAGGAACATGAGGTAAACCACCTGTTTCCATTTAAATGCTGTCATTATTTTGGAGTTTGTTTTACATGGTTGCGTGTGTCTTTCGCCTCGGATAAAATTTACTCTAAAAATTGCTTCAGCCCTCTCTCGTCCCCTGGGAACTATCCCTTAGGGGGTTCGAGCTCTCACTACATACAGCCTGTGCTGCTTGCTTTTTAAGAAGTGAGAAAAATTCAGCATCAAGTTACTATTTCATGACTTTCCTTGCTCTATCTCTCAAGGTCCCTGTCCTTGAGACTCTGGTTACAAACATGGCACCTGTTGCTAAAGTACCCACAGTTTGATTTTGAGGGGACACAATGTCCTTAGAAGTGCTGCTTTTGGAAAAGATAGCAAATCAGGATATAAGCTCTTGGGGCACATCCCATGATCTCTCTCTGTCCTCCACCCTATATGATTGCTTTTGTTTATTTGATAGCACTGACCCCTCTTCTTTCTTTTAGACTTTCTACTGCTGTGGCTTTCCCAATATCAATCTCTCTTGATTTTCCTTATTTTATTATTTTTTGGGGGAAGGGAGAATCTTCTTTTTAGTGTCCTTCACAAATTTCTCTATTTTTTCAAGTAATCTCTACACCCAACATGGGGCTCAAACTCACGACCCTGAGATCAAGAGTCACATGCTCTACCAACTGAGCCAGCCAGGCACCCTACAAATTTCTCTCTGTTTTCATTGTGTTATCTTAGTGTTTTTGTTTTGAGAATTTCCATTTTTGGCTGGTTTCATGCTTGCTCTAGGGGTTTTTATGCTCTGGGTGTGTGGTTTTTTTTTAAGATTTTATTAATTTATTTGAGAGAGAGAGCGAGTGAGAGAGTGAAAGAGCAAGTGCACAAGTGGGGCGGGGGGGGGGAAGGCAGAGGGAAGAGCACACTCCCTGCTGAGGAGGGAACCTGATGTGGGACTCTATCCCAGGACCCCGGGATCATGACCTGAGCCAAAGACAGATGTTTAACCAACTGAGCCACCCAGGCACACACCCCCCTCCCCCCGAAGTTTTAATGATGAAACCCTCTCTATAATGATAGTGCCCAAATCTCTATCTCCCGCTGAGTCTTTTCCTCTGAGATCTAGGTTCTGAGTAGATGTCATTGGTGTTCCTCAGAGACCTCCCATTCAGCATGTTCAAAACCAGCCAATAATATCTCCTCTCAAACTTTGCTTCCTCTTGTGTCTGTTGGTCATGAAGGTCAGTGTGCCTGCAAACTCACTTCTTCCCGGTGCCCTTTCCTTCCCGCTTATCTGTGACAGAGTTGGTTGCCAGGCCTCATTGGTTACTCTTCAGAACACTTGCTTCATTTCCTTCCTTTCCACCACTGTTATCATGCCCTCAACCTGGGTTATTCTCCCATGTGATGATGGCTGCATCATCTTCCAGACCCATCATGAGAGAGACCCCTCTGAACTGCAAATCCTATGTCACTCGCTAACCCTCACTCTCAGAACATCTCCAGGCTCCTTAGAAGCCATGCAGGTCCTGGCAGTCTGGCTGCAGGACATGCCTTCAGCAATCCTTCTGTGCCATGCCCTCCAGCCACACTGGATTGCTGTTCTTTCAGAATGTCTGGAGCCAAGAGTAAAAAACTTGGCTGTTCCTGCTGGTAGGAATGACCTCTCTCTCCTTTCACTTGGAGGACTCATACTTGTTCTTTCTGCATCTCTCTCCTTTTCTGCATCACATGTTCCCACATGTGAGGTAGGTTTTTTCTGATTCCTTTAGGTAGGCAGTGACTCTGTCATGACACTTGTTGCACAGTATGTGTGACTACTGTCAGGGAGGAAAAAGTTTTCTCTACCTACTAGGGTCCCTGGAAATGAAACTGACAAAGGCAGATGGACAGGAGAAAAGCATACATATTTTATTGAATTGTGGCATGCACACAGGAGCCTTCACAAGAGAATGCAGATCCAAAGAATTTTTTAGACCTTTTAGACAAAGAGGCCATACATTTGTGAAGAACTGACAAGACAAAGTTAAGGGTTAGTTTAACAAGATTTGCTTGCAGATTTGTCTGGTACTATCTTTGGGCCGATGAGAGTCTACCTCTAATAAAAAGATTTTATTTCCCACCACTAGGCAGAAAGCAGGCAGCTTTTTCTGTCTTCACTGCTTCTTAATTGCCTTCAGCTCAAAATAATTTTCACGTTCAAAAAGGTGTATTTGGGGGGCCGTCTGATTGGTTCAGTCCATAGAGCACGAGACTCTTGATCTTGAGGTCATGAGTTTGAGCCCCACTTTGGGCAGAGAGATCACTTAAAAAAAAGAGGCATATTTTGGGGTGACATATTCTGGTTTCATTGAGCACATTACTAGACTGTGCTGAATCCCTTTTGGGCTGACTTCCTCATCTTTGGTTCTCCAAGTGCCCATTACTACAGCAGGCACAGTGTGGATGGCCTATAAAAAGAATGTGTGTGTTAGTAAAACACATCTGTTAGTTTCTAATCCTTATGGACTAATCATGTAAACTCATTCGAAACACATTTCCTGCTTTATTTCCTCAATCAGGCCTGCTTTTCTGAGGAAGCCAGTCTGTACCAGCTAGATCACCACATGGATGTCCTGCGGGAGCTATGTGAAGAGCTGACTTCACAGAAGAGTCAACAAGAAGTGAGGAGAGCACTCAAGGATTATGAACAAAAGATAGAAAGACTTAGGAAATGTGCTTCTGAGATTCATATGACACTGCAACCCACGATGGGAGGCACGTCAAAAAACAAGTCAGTGCTTCGTAAGAATAACTACACATTAGGGAAAAACAAGATAAAGCTTTCTGCAAAATCAAATGAAAGGAGTATTATTTTTTCTCTTTTGGTCTTTATTTTTCTTCCTCTATTTTAATATGCAATTTTGATTCCTCCTTAGGGAGACCACGAACCCATCTGAGAATGGAGGAAGGGATTCCCACAGTGAGGTGCCATCTGTAAAATCAGAGAATCAGCCATCAACTGAAAAGGTGTTAAATGTGGAATAATGTATTTTAGAAACAAACCTAATGAAAAAAGGCCAAGCGTACTGTAATCCACTTCTCATTAATTGTTGGTGTTAATTATCTGAATATTTTTATTAGCTGAGAATTCCCATTTAAAAATGGGATTTTCCCCCCAATAATTACAATATAACGATATATATATATGTAACGATATATATATATATATATATATATATATATATATATATATATAGTGAGTGTCACTTTATCTTCCTCTGAGGATACAAACAGTTCTTTCAGAAAGAGACCATTTGTAGCTATTATGAATACACGTTGTGCACATTCCTATTGAGGGTACAAGATTGGAGTTTAATCTGTACAGATGCCTCAGCTTCATTGAGATGAACTAGTTCATTTATCATTTGTGTTTTTCTCAGTATAATGTCCTTTACTTCTCTTGGGAATTGAATTTTCTGAATTCTTGAATTTTCAGTAAGAGGGCATGGACTGTGGACTAGACTGCCAGTCAGAGGCTATGGGGAGAGAATAAGGTGTTTTTGACTTCAGAGGTCTGCTTCTGCATGCTAGGCTTCTGTCTGCTTTCGTCTCTGGCAGAGACAGTATTTAGGGGTTGGGAGAACACCTTTTCTGTGCTGACATACCAGTTAGAAGGTGAGACTCAGTGTCATAAATCTCCTTTGTCCCAGGGGAAGGCCTCTCTTAGAGCTGAGAAGCCTCAAGTAAATCGTACTATCTCCTGGTTTGGGGTATAAAGAATTAGTGGCATACCTTTATCTTATAAAGTATTTATCTTTTCCAGATACTTAAGTATATTGAAGATATTATGTTTACTGTTTTGCATATTTACTTAGGCAATGGATTCGATTAAAAATTTTAGCCTGGAATCCAAGTTAAAGCCTCAACCGGAAGAAAACTTTATGAAGGAGTGTGAAAAGGATCACAATGCAGCTGTCAGTAGTTTACAAGAGAGGTAACCCCTTTATGTAACTGGAAAATCCACCAAAAATCTTCCATTAATGCAAACATGTTACACTTTCATATAAATTTATAACCCATTAGTCATAATCTTAGCACATGGTCCAGTAACTTAAGCAGAAATTCCCTCTTGTATAATTGATAGTAATTAAAAACATGTTTTGTCTTACTGTTAAAAATAAGTGACATTGCATTTAATTTTTTTCTAGGCATGATATGCACAGAGAAAATCTTGAGCTGTACCTAGAAAAGAACAAATTCAGAATAATTTCTGATTTCTCCAGTGACAAGGAAAGGAGTAGTGCTTGTCTGCAGGATAAACTGACAGATCTACGGGTAATTACTGAAAATACTGTTAGAGAAGTTTTATCTTTTATTAGAAAATAATCTCACCATGAGTATAGACTTCACTGTTTTTGTTGAGGTCACATATGCTAGATGTTTCCAAAGAATTCTCTTTGTTGGATTGCATTTCTAATGTCATTCTGTTTCAGAGAATGATTTGCATTCAGGTGTCAACCGTGGGAAGGACTTTGTTTTGGGATCCTTATTTATTGCTCATGCTCTGATTTGGTGCTCAAGATACTGTGGCTTGCAGAGTTTTGGATTATGTTTAGGATGAGAATGAGGGTTACAAAAGAATTTTTCAAAACAATGTGTTCAAAGGCAATTTCAACCAGTAGTCCAACTGTGTTGCTCTAAAATTAATAATACATGAAAAAACCAGTGACTCTGAATATTTATTTCTTATCATCCTAAGTTGTCAATATTGTCTATCTAATGTTGGGATGATGAGGAAGGGGCCAGCGGGGGCGGGATTTTTTATTCTGAGCAATGGATAATCTTGTGGAGAGCCATTTGGTTCAGGAGCTACTGAAAAAATTGTCTAGTGTTAGTTGTAAGCCCTACAAATAAATATCTTCCTTATTTTGAAGGCAATCTGTGCAGTGCAGCACTGTTGTATGCTTGGAAGAGCATTAGAATGAACCCTCATAGAAAATCCATGAGGTGGAGAAAAGGGCCATGGAAGAGCCTATAGTGCCCTCCCATATTTTATAGTTATCTTTCCTTTATAGTGCCAGTTCTGGAATCACACTCTACCATCTGACTCCTCTCTATTTTCCATCTGAGTAAGCAGAATTAATATGTTAAAATCTGTGTTGCTCAAATGATGGATTTAGCACATTTTCATCACAATTAAGAAACTGTCTTGAGACCTTACTCCAGTAACTGAATAATGAGTTGGTTATAAAAGCTATGATAATCCCTGGGAAAGGTGAAGAACAAATTATAATGATCAGCACTCAGTAAATTCTGTAGCAGTGCCTTTAAAAACAAAAAATCACCATCAAAAAGATAAGGAGCTAGAATATTGAATTTTTAGGTGTTTAATTATAAATCATAATTTAATTCCATTCACTTCTTATGTGATAGAAACGTTTTGGTTCACTCTAGTTTTGTTTTTCAGTTAGGGAGAAACAAAGATTTATTATCTAGAAGAACTAGAATATTTGTTCTTACATGTATCTTTCTGAATTGTATTCTGTGTACCTACTTTTGGGAAGGGAGTTTGGATTCCTTGACTTCATTGAATGGGACTACTGAGAGTAGTTAAGATCATTGTTCCCTGAAGGATATTTCATTTTTAGATGGTTGAAAAATATTTTTAAAATTTATTTAAAATTAAATTCAATTAATTTAATTAGATATAAAAATAATTTTAATATATTTTCATATAAAACTCTGTTAATAGTTGGCAAAATAGTTGGCAAATGCCTCATTTTGTAAGAACAGAATAATTGTGCCTGTTAACCCACTAGTTGATAGATTAATGTGTTTCACCTAGGTTTTAAAAAATGAAATTGATGCTTGCTGGAAAGAGTTTGAAATCACTTCATTGAAGTTAGAAGAGCTTGACAGTGATGTAAAGAAGCCTTTTATAAGTAACATGAGAGACAAATTAAAGGAAAAAGAAAGAGAGTTTCAGATGACTCTTAATACCAGGTATAATTCTGAGATCTATTAACCATGAAATTATTGAATTTTTAATGGTATTTTAAGCCAGGCTAGTACTATACTAAGTATGCTATTATATTTAGTTGTCACAACCCTGGTGAGAGAGGCTACCATGATTGTTATTTTACTGATGAGGAAACTGATACTCAGGTTAAACAATATAACCAAGCCACCCCACTGCCAGAGATTTTGGTGGAACTTACTCTGTTGAGTTCCAAAGGCCATACTCTGCCCTTCCTGCCTCCCACCCTCCCACCACCCCCATCTGCCCTTGGGCATGAATTTAGCCATGTCACATAACTTCTCTGGGTCTTGATTTTCCCATTTCCAAAGCAAGAGTTCTGTTCTTATCCCCTCCCTGTACATAGGATGGGTTTCCTCAAGACATATCCTCATTTTGCATACGAGGAAATGGAGGCTCAGTCTATATGTTATTTGTCCAAGGTCATGTATTTCAATTTATTATCAGTAGAACCTATTTCTTTGAATTCTATTTTCACTAATGAAATAATTAATATTTGTAATAACATTTCTTTGTCATCAAAGGCAAAGTTAAATTACATTCAGTATTTATCTCAAAAGGTAGGGGTGGGTGCTGCCTGGGTGGCTCAATTGGTTGAGCATGTGACTCTTGGTTTCGGCTCAGGTCATGGTCTCATGAGTTGTGGGAGCAAGCCCTGTGTTGGACTTCACACTCAGCAGAGTCTACTTGAAGGATTCTCTCCCTCGGTCCCTCCCCCACTTGTTTTCTCTCTTTTTCTCTATCTAAAAAAAAGTAAATCTTTAAAAAAAAGTTAAGAAAAAAAGTAGAGTAAGGCTCAGTATATTTTACAACAATTTTCCATTCAGTGTGGTATATATTAAGCTATTAAGAATGAGTGGCTCAGTGGTTGAGCATCTGCCTTCAGGTCAGGTTGTGATCCCAGGATCCTGAGATGAAGTCCCACATCGGGCTCCCCATAGGGAGTCTGCTTCTGTCTTTGCCTATGTCTCTGCCTCTCTCTGTGTGTCTCGCATGAATAAATAAATAAAATCTTAAAAAAATAAAAGCAATATTTGGAAATAGCAAACAACTTATTCTTTGGTATTTTGGATTGCTGGGTTTGCTTTTTGAGGTTGTTTTGTTCTGTTTTTATTTTGCTGGGTTTGGGTTTTAGTGTGATGATCTGTACATATCATTGTATGTATTATTATTGGGTAATTATTTTCTGTTCTTAATTAAATCGTGGCATTAATATGTTCTATGAAATATCTTTATGTTTTCTTTTTCCATAATGTTGGTTTATTTTTTGCCCAGAATGGAATCTTTGGAAACTGCACTAAAGATTGTGTTACCTGTGGAGAAGGAATCACTTCTACTCTGTGGCTCAGACCTGCTCCTCCATGAACTAGTCATTCAAGAATTTCATCTCATTGATGCTGATGGCATTTATCAAAACCTGAGGGTAAATATAAGTTCTTCCAGTGTATTCATAGAATAATTCAGTTCTTCAGAGATTTCTAATTATACCTCAATAGTATATAATTGAACTATAAGCAATGGCAGAAAAGTCTTCAATAATTTAGACTTCTTTCTCAACTTTCAATTCCTTGCAAATTTGAAAGTTGGGGTAAGTAATTAGGTATTTTCCTTGAATTCAAAATGAAGGTTTGCTTATGAATGTCTTCCCCAATGACTGAAATCCTAAATATTGTTCTAGACTCATGTATATTCAACAGTTTACTTAATCCTACTCTCACTGTTTTGAAAGTTTTTAATTTTTAACATTTTTGAATTCAATTTAGTTAACATATACTATATTGTTAGTTTCAGTAGTAGAACTTAGTAATTTATCAGTTGCATATAATACCCACTGCTCTTTACATCAAGTGCCCTCCTTAATGCCCATCACCCAATAAACCCAATCCCCCCACCTTCAAGTCTCATTTTAAATAAAAAAAAATTGGTTTATTTCTCAGGTTATAAACAGATGTCTCAGCAATTTAATACCTATTTTCACTGAAGCAGATTTATATACCTGTTTTCTTTTGGGGATTGAAACATCAAGAAAGTTATCAGATAATGAAATAGCTGGGCCATCTGATCATTGTAATTAAAATGTTTCCTTCCATTGAAACTGTCAGCCTTGGTAAAACCGAGAAGCAGTTTTCTAGATGCCACCTGGTCATTTTAAGTTTAGGTTCATTTCTGATGAGCAGTCTTTTATTTTGCCTCAGTTTTTTCAGCATTTCTTACTTTATTTTAGAATATTCAAGATTCCATTGCCAAACAAGTTGAAATATGTAACAATGTGGAACAGTCTGGCGACTTTGCATTAAAGGACTTATACCCAGTTGATGTACATGCAACCCAGAATATTATGCTGAAACACAGAACACAACTGGAAGAAGCAAACCACAAGGTACAGAGGAATAAAGATGCCCTCAAAGCTCTGGAGGAGTTTCTGGCTTCTCTGAGAACAGCTGAGCTGTCTTTTGAGCTTTCAGCCTCAGATACACAGGTGGTACCAGAAGACACTTTGACAGTAGAAAATAAAAAAGGAGAAATTAATCTGATGAAGGACCAGGCCAGACATTTGGATGAACGTTTGAAGATGCTCGGCATAAGCTTTAAAGATGCTGAACGAGGTGATGACACCTGTGATAAACTTCTTGATGCTTTGTCCAGGAAGTTATTTGAGACACGTGGCTATGGTGTGCAGGAAGAGCTCACTGAAGAAAACAAATTACTAGAGACTTGTATTTTAAAAAATAATGAACTCCTGAGAAATATTCAAGATGTGTACAATCAAATCAGTAAGATCAGTCTTAAGGATCCCACCGTTCCAGCTGTGAAACAACGGTGAGTCTCATTTCTATCCAAGGCCCGATGCAGGGTAATACTTTAATGTATTTTCAATATCCGTTAGGTGAGAGAAATACTTCCTGTGTCTTTCTACTTCTGTTCTATCCTGCTCCAGTCAGTACTGGTTCAGCATTCTTTTCTGTAGACCTCAAACAAGCTTTGTTTTTTGTTGATAGTGTGCCTTTACAAAATGTTTTATAATTTTTTTCTATTTGAAGTGTGCATTTCACAGATCAAGGTGGAGTAAATAAGATGTGTGTAAAGTACTTGAGTTCCTTCAAAGTCCCGTTTAGTGCTGTTACTTATTACAGGGTTCTTGTGATGGGGGAAGGCCTAAAATACTCCACACACTGGATAATAAAGAAGGAAGTGGTGGGATATATGCATGCCATACCCTGGCCTATTTCTTCCTGAATTATCTGGTTTCCTCCTCTCCTCCCAGAAGGACTGGGATGAGGACTTGGTGGGAAGGCATAGGATTGAATTTGAGAGTTAGCCAAGGTTAGTACTGATTCTAGAGAACGAGCAGAATTGCAATAAACTGAGGTGGGCAGCATTCTGTATGAGTACTGTGATTTTAATTCTGGTGTTCAGAGTGAGCCTCTAGGTCCTACAAGTGGCAATGTTAGCAAGTTACTTTTGTGTACTCTCCTCCCCTGTCTAAATCATTCCTCTGTTGTCTCATCTGCCTACCAAGTCCCTGAGACTCAATGCTCTCTTGAAGCTCTTTCCTCTGAAATTGCTCTGTGCCCTCTGCAATTGAAATGTGCCCAGTTCTTAGTGAGGTGTGGAACTAATGACTAAGTCATTAATTTATTTTTAATAAATTTTTGTTATATATTTATAAATAATAAATGAATAAATTACATGTTAATTTATACATGAAAATCTGTATCTTGAACAATAAATTGCTTTAATTTTTAATTTAGTTGTTAATACCATAAATACGTTTTGCGCGCCAGGTATTATTTTAGGTACTGGAGATATAGCAGTTAACAAAATAGACAAAAACTCTTGTTCCTGGTAGAACTTCTTATCTATAAAAGAGTAAGGTACTCAATGTTTGATGGTGATAAAAGCTATGAAGAAAAATTAAGCAAGGAGGGGGGAGGAGATTGTAATTCCAAAAGAGTCATCAGGATAGTTTTACTGAGAAAATAATCTTTGAGTCAGATGGGCTGAGAGAGCTAGCCAGGTGATGACCAGGAGGGAGAGCCTTCCAGGTTGAAGGAGGGTTAGGTACCAAGGCCAGGTGTGGGAATGGGCCTGGCATGTCTGAGGAGAGGCAGGGAAGAGAGAAGGTCATTGGTGAGAGGAAGAGGTATGAAAAAGGATCAGGAGAGTGTTATTTTGATATAATAATTTGAAGGCAAATTAAAGTTAATGTGCTCCCCTAAATTACCCATACTTATGTTGAGTCAGATTGGCTAATCATTGGCTTTCAAACTTCTTTCTTTCATAATCAAGGAAAAAATCACTAATGAAATTGGATAAGGATCTAGATGAATATGAAGAAGAGAAGAAATGCTTGCAAGAAATGGTTAATTCTCTTCCACAATTCAAAGATGGCAGAGAAAAATCTCTGAATCAGCAGTTCCAAAATACAGTGCATTTGTGGGAGAGTACAAAAACTTCAGTCACTGAATGGTAAGGAGAAAGATCCCTCCCAAATCTGAAAAGTTGCTTATAGCACAATTAACTTTTTCAATTTTATTTTATTTTTTAATATTTTATTTAAATTCAATTTGCCAACAACAATTAGTTTTTTAAAATATGTCAAAAACACATACCCATAGATCTACAGGAGGGGCAAATGTGAGAGTTTCATACTGGAAGCTCGCTGGGCCAATGTCTGAGCAAGATCTGGAATCCTAGATTATAGCCCAGTGAGTTTAAGAGGTAGGTTATCCAAGAGGATAACAAATACACAGTGTGTTTATAATTATTATGCCTCCCCTGTATTAGTTTTCTATTGCTATTCTGTAACTAATTACCAGAAGTTTAATGGCTGAAAACAACACAGATTTATCTGACAGACTGGAGGTTGGAGATTCTGAAATCAAGCTGCCTTCCTTTCTCGGAGGCTCCAGGACAGAACCTGTTTCCTTGCCTTCTAGAGAGCTCCCACCGCTTTCCTTGGTGTATGTCTCCTTCCTCCATCTTGAAAGCCAACCATGAGACATATTCAAATCTTATTTCGGCTTTCTCTCTATCTCTGTCTCTGCTTCTGTTGTCACCCTGACCCTCCTGTCTCCGCCTTATAAGGACCCTTGTGATGATATTGCACCCATGCAGATAATTCCTGGTAATGTCCCTATTTTAAGACCCTTAACTTAATTGCTCCAGCAAAGTATCTTTTGCCATGTAAGGGGATAGTTGCAGGATCCAGGGATAAGATATGGACATCTTTGGGGGTGGGGGCCTTATACACCCCACTTGAATAGCAATGTTGCTTGTCAGTTGCCACTATCTTCTCTGCTGAGCAGGCTCAAGAGTTTTTCTTAATTATGTGGCAGCCAATGCCTGTCAATCCTGGTTGGTGATTCTGTTGAATGTTCTCCATCCATGCCTCCTTTCCCTTGCTGTTGCCTGGACAGAGAAGTGGTCAGGAAGGCTGATCCCTAACATGCTGCACCAGCCAGGCCAAGGGGTCCAGTTGGGATAGGAAGTGTGAGGTACTAATAGGAGGTTTGAGGACAGAGTGAGAGAGGTCAGGATGGTCTTAACCCCTTCCCTTTGCAGCAGGTGGTTCTGGTAGCTCCTACTGGCACCTTCCTCTCTGGCTCATGATACTTTCCTCCTTTCCCCTGAGGCTGAGTGGTGTATCTGTTTTTCCTCTGTGTCAGTGCCTCCATTCCCTGGAAGTTTTCCTTAACCCTGTTCACACCAGTGGTCCTTTTACACAGAACTCTGAGTGTACCTCCTGTTTTCTACTGGAAGCTGAGTATATAGTAGTCAAGAGAAAGCCTGTCTGTGATATTCGATATAGTCTATCCTTAGATTTTATAGAGGAAAGAAATTGAGGTCCAAAGAGGCTAAAATAACTTTTGTAAGCTCACAGGACTGATTAGTGCCCAACTGTAAGTAGAAATCAGGTATCCTAACTGCCAAATTATCTGTATTACTTTACTTTTTAAAAAGGGCTAAATCTAAATAAATAAATAAATAAATAAACAAACTAAATCTAGAATGAGTTAAATATACATAAACTGTGACTTGCTGAATTAGTTATTGAGACAATCTCCAAGAATAGTGCTAGGGAGGCACTGTTTTCCAAGGTTATTTGGTTATTGCTGAAATGGAAATGTTTCTTTCTAGATCTTACATCTGGCGATTTTTTTTAACTATTAATCTGGTGAAAATCACAATCCAGCGATTATACCATCTGTGTGCCAGATAACTATATATGCCATCATTCTTCCTTTACATTGGTAAAGCAATATGCTAAACCCTGACAAGAGGAAAAATCCCTCTATAACATATTAGTCATTGTTATAGGATACTTACAAAGAGAGAGAGAATAGTTTTATTATTTTTAGAGATTTACCTGTTTTACTTTCTTTTTTTTCTATAGCCTTGACCAATGTGAAAGAGTTTTGGAGCTTTTAAAACAATATCAGAATTTTAAAAGTGTCTTGACTGCTTTGATTCAAAAAGAAGAGAGTATCATCTCCCTTCAGGCTTCCTACATGGGAAAAGAGAACCTGAAGAAAAGGATAGCAGAGGTGAGTCCAGATTCCAAAGGAAACTTTACACAGTGGCCTCAACAATAAAGAGGATATTATAAATGGAGTCATTTTTGAAAATTGGCTTAAAAGAACAGTGACTCTGTGTTCTTAGATATCTAAGACCTTATTGAATTTATTACTAGGGCTTGCAAAAATTCAGTCCCCAAGTGGATGCTGGGTTGCTTATTGTTTGGTTTTTGATACTAGTGGTATGGTTCTACTGGAGTCTGGGGTCACCCCTGCTGCTTCATTTTAGGCTTGAGAGAATGAAGGTAGTGGGAAAACCCCTCTGTTATTAGCAGACAAAGGAATAATTACATTTTTATTTATTTGCTTTCTGTAAAGATGTGTGAGTTTACATCCATGATGCTCCATCTATTTTCATAGCCTCACCAATCACAACATAGTTTAAGAAGAGTGACACTTTTGGACACTAGGTGTCATTATTTTCTATGATTTAGGTGATTATCAACCAGGGTGGCAGAAGAATGGAATAGTTGAAGAATACTATGACTACACTGTATTACTGTACACCAGAAAGTTGCTTTTCCTGCTGGTTTTATGAGTCCTATGCTAAAGTGCTGTTAAAGGGTCAGTAGCATGTGTGAAATATAATCTATTTGATATACCTGATTATAAGGAAACATTTTCATTGAACTTCCCAGTTTCTGAGAGAGAGAGAGAGAGAGAGAGAGAGAGAGAATGAGAATCAACCAGATTCTTATAGACAATTTAGTCTTTATCTAGAGCTCTTATCCCTGAAGCTGCAGTAACATTCACGGTGGGGGACATATGGCCAGAGCTATAGGTGAAGAATAGCCTGTGTCTGAGACCTACTTTCTCAGACTCAGTTTCCTGGAACTGACCAATCACAAGGGACCCTGTTTGGATACCAGTTGTATGATATGTGACTATCTCACTGTTCTTTTTATGAGACTGAAATGAGGAAGGCCACCAAGACCAGGAACAGACAGTGACATGGAGTTGCTCAGAAGCAACCTGTCGGCTTCTGTCCAGCAGAGGTAGCTTCTACGTTTGGCGGTCTCGGGATCTGGAAGATTCTGTCCCTATTCCAGTGGATTTGAAGAGCTCTGGGTTCTTTTGATTCTCAGCAAGTTCTACCTGATCAGCCTTATAAGATCCCCTCAACCTTGTGTCCCAGTTTCCATAGCTGCTTTTCTGCTGTGCTCCTGATGCCAGTTACCCACCTTGTACTATTGTTTCAGGATCAAAGTCTCTGACTTCTTTACAGATCCAGAGTCCCTCTCTTGTATACTGACCAGATAGGTAGTCTCTCTTGACCTGTAGCTGTTCTGTTTGTGCTAATCCTCAGTCCTGAAATCCTGCCTTTGTCCAGTTAAATGGGATCCCGTCACCAGTAGGAAGCCATTCCTTTCCTGATTAGCTCAAGTAGCATCTGTAAAGTGCCCAGGACTTAATCAGCATCTAACTGCGTGTTGGTCATGATGATGCACCCTGTGTGTGGCTCTATGCACTCACCTCTCCTCAGGTGCTTGAGCACTCCTCCTTCTACCCTGTAACCCCATTAACTGTGAACTGTACTTTCTGGATAAGTTATTTATCTGATTAGTAAAACTTACTTCATCACCATGAGGCAGATGGCCTGCCTCTTGGGTGAGTCTCCCTAATGAGAATTTTGGTTCAGATCTTGACCCCTCTGCCATCATTAGCTCTCCAATGGCTGTTGTCCTAGTCTGTTCAGGCTGCTATTACAAAAATACCATAGACTGGGTGACTTATAAACACCACAAATTTATTTCTCACAGTTCTGGAAACAGGCTGGTGTAGGGAGAGGGGGACAGATCAACAATAAATTTAACCATGGATAGATCAAAGAATGAGGACTTTACATAAATTATTCCTGTGTATAATAGCTCATTATTCAAAATATATAGTTATAATATAGTTCACTTAAATATGCCTTCATAAATGGAAGTTAGTATGATAAAGTTTAATTTTTTATTACTTTAAATAATGCTGTAGGGGTGCCTGGGTGGCTGAGTCGGTTAAGTGTCTGCTTTCTACTCGGGTCATGATCCTGGGGTCCTGGGATTAAGCCCAGTGGCTGGCTCCCTGCTCAGTGGGGAGCCTGCTTCTCCCTCTCCCTCTGCCTCTCCCTCCTGTTTGTACTCTCTCTCAAATAAATAAAATCCTTTTTAAAATGATGTAGAGTAGAAAAGTATTTTCATAAACATGATAGAGTAAGGTTTGCAATAATATACAGAGAACTCATTGAAATTAGTGAGTAAACCACTGAGATCCAAACAGATATTTGTACATAGGGAATAAATTGGCAATTGTTAAAAAATAGAGAGGGAGAGAGACATAGTTCAACCTCATGAGTAATCAAAGGATAGCAGAATTACTCAAAAATACTTTGTTTGCCTTTTGATAGCGAGATGTGTACTCTATATTGCTACTGAAAGAGTGGATTGATGTTATCCTTTTGGAAAACACTTTGACAATATTATTGAAGACCCATGAAAATCTGTCTACCATTTGACCAAGTATTTCACTTCTAGGAATCTAGCCTAAGGATATAATATTAAATATGGAAAATTCTTAATACCAATGGCAGCACTTTAAAAATTTACTAATTTCCTTCTTTCTTCACTGACCAAACTATACTCCCTCCACTCTAATAAATGATTTGTTCCAGAAACTGGAAAATCCTGAGGCTAGAAAAATTGGTTTGATTTGCAAATAAGACTATCATGTGGCCTTGATGTTTTAAGTACTACTACTACTACTACTACTAAAAATGGTATTGATGATGATAATGATAGTTTCTGGCATGGAGGGCATGGTCATTGGATGGCAAGTTCTTCACATATTATTGTATCATTTCATTTCCACATAACCCTGCAAGGTAAATAGTATTAACCCTGTTATACTGGTGAGAAAACCAAGATTTAGAGTTTGTTGTTGTTATTTTGTTCTTAGAGAATTTTAGAAGTAATTGGAGGGGTTTTAATGTTATTAGGATGGGTCATGAATAAAGAAGAAATAAATTCCCCAACCCTGCCCTATCAGTTTTCCTTATTTACTGTAGGATTGTCAAAGGAGATATATACTTAAAAAAAAAAGACCAAATGGTATTGTTTTATTATAATCTGCACAAGTGCCCAATATCCCAGCAAGTTCTTGGGGAAAAAAATGGTTCAAGTAGGTGGGCCAACCTAAATGCTTAGTATGCCTTCATCTCCTCCAGATCTAAATCCAAATCTTGGAATCTTATCACAGAGTAGCTTAGATATTGATACAGTGACTTGGGTTCTTCACGTGCTGTGAAGATAGGTTCATAATGCTGGTCTCAAGAATATTACCTGTTGAACGATAAGGAAACAACACTGAGCAAAAAAAGAGCCATATCCATGTATTGAATTTTTCAGGCATGCTGATCTTGCTTACTGGTAATGTCCAATTTGTGTCTTGGAATTTGAATAGATTAGTGACTTCCTCTGTAAAAAAGGCAAAAAGTGAGGACAGGGGTTAAGTAACTTTCCCAGGATTATATGGCTGATGAAAGGCATAATCGTGATTTAATCCCAGGTCTATGTGACTACAAAATCATGTTTCAATCATTGTAATTTTGCATTCTCTGTAAACATTTGAAATATGTATATGGCAGAAGTAAAAATTGATTAACTTTGCTTTGTTCCCCTTTTTCAACTGTAAAGGTTTTGCTCACAAAGGTATTTTAAAAATTAATAAGATAACTAATTACCTTTAAGAAAAGTGTAACAGTCCAGGCATTTCTTGTTATGTTGAGAATCTTATATCTCTTATCTAGCATATGAGTATTTCATATATTTGCTGAAATAATATATTATTTTGTATGGAAACTATACAAGTTCTAGTACACTTAGTATACTAATATTTGATTCTTTTTTCAGATGCTTTTTAAACTGCCTGAAAAAAAAAATCAAAGCTTAGTACTGACTGTTAATATAGTTTTCAGTTAAAAAAATAAATAAAATATAAAAAAATTATAGTTTTCAGTTAATTTTGTGATGAATTAGATACTGTCTTCAGAAACAATCCGTTTCTGTGGTATGTGTTTGTGGTATGATGCTTTGTACCAGCGGCCAAAACATGATACTACTGGGAACTTTTGTCGTCCAAACCATAGAAACCTGGATGTTTATCTAGGATATGGGACCAGATTTCCACTCCTTTTAATGAAAGACAGAAGTGCAAAAGAAAGACTAAAGGCTAGAATGTCAAGGGACTATTCAGGTTTGGGAAAAGGCAGAGTGAGTCTACTTTCCTTTATTCTACCCTTTCCATTTATTGTGGAAGAAAACTCACCATTCCTGACAGCGGTGAAAGTACCCTCTCCTGTTCTTTTTTCTTCACTCAGTGGTGGCTTGTGTCAGTGTAATAACAAAGTTCTTTGACTATAATGAAAATTAGGATGGATATATATATATATAATATATATAAATTTGGGCATATATATAATGTATATATACATTTATATATTTAAGTTTTATATATATATATTTTTTCCATTTGATTGAATGAAAATTTATTATGCCCAATGCACAAAGAGTCCTGTTCCAGGAGAAAAAACCTTGGAGTTTGCATCTCAGCTTTATGGATGTATCAGTCAGCCTCCAATCAGGAGACAGAAAACCTCCCCAGTCATTTTATTCTCATTTTAAAAATTTTATTCAGTTATTGTTTTAGTTAAACTTTTGAGATAATTGTAGATTCACATGCAGTTTTTATTTATTTTTTTTCACATGCAGTTTTTAGAAATATAGAGGTCCTGTATACCTCTTCCTGTAAGTCTCCCCAGTGTTAAATCTTATAAAATTACATAGTACAATATTGTAATCAGGATACCCACATTGATAGAGTCAAGATAGAGAACACTTCCAACACCACAAGGATCCCTTGTGTTGTCATTTTATAACCCTATCCGTTTCTGTCCTGTGGATACATCATACAGCGTGTAACCTTTGGGGATTGGCTGTTTTCACTCTGCATAATTCTCCAGAGATTCATTCAGGTTCTTCCATGTGTTGATAGCTTGTTCCCTTTTCTTGCTGCATAGTATTCCATGGTATGGATGTAACCACAGTTTGTTTAATTATTCATCACTGAAGGACATTGGGTTGTTTATAAATTTTGGCTATTATAAGTAAAGCTGATATAAACCTTCATATAGGGGTCTTTTTTCTTTTTTTGTTTTAAAGATTTTATATATTTATTCAGAGAGACACACACAGAGAGAGAAGTAGAGACACAAGCAGAGAGAGAAGCAGGCTCCATGCAGGGAGCCCGATGAGGGACTCAATGCTGGGTCTCCAAGATCACACCCTGGGCCGAAGGCAGGCACTCAACCACTGAGCCAGCCAGGCATCCCAAAATAGGGGTCTTTATGTGACTAGAAGTTTTTATTTCTCAGGGTTAACTGCCCAGGAGTATAGTTGCTGGCTTGTATGTTAATTACATATTTAGTTGGTTTTTTTTTTTTTATATATTCATGAGAGGCAGAGAGAGAGAGAGAGGCAAAGACACAGGCAGAGGGAAAAGTAGGCTCCACTCAGGGAGCCTGACGCAGGACTCTAACCTGGGTGTTCAGGATCAGGCCTGGGTCAAAGGCGGTGCTAAACCGCTGGCCACCGGGGCTGCCCACATATTTAGTTTTTAAAGAAACTGCCAAACTAATTCCCACCAGCAATGTGGAGTGATCCAGTTCCTCCGCATCACTGCCAATGTTAGATATTGTCTCAAAATTTTTTAAGCCATTCTGATAGGTATGTAGTAGTATTACATTATGGTTTAATTTGTATTTTCCTAATTGCTAATGGTATTGATAATCTTTCCTTGTGCTTGTTTGCCATCTGTATGTCATCTTTGGTGAGTCAAAATAAATATAATATCTTTTCCTGTAATATCTGGCCCTAGTGAGTAATTATTTTCTAAAAGTTTTCTGTCTTGCTAGATTGTCCTCTTTTTGGTTCTCTGGCTGAGGATAGCAAGCTTCCCTTGGCACGGTTTTTTCCCACTGTGCTCATTGATATTACTAGGTGTTGGGATATCTGAGGGAAAAAGAAAATGCAGGGAACTTACCACCAAGCTGGTGTTGAGGAGCTGATGCCCCCAGCTGTTCTCCTCTCTTGAACTTTCCACTTTTAATTCTTTAAGTTTGTTTTGTATATGATATCCAGGGTTTTTAGTTGTGCTTAATGGGAATAGGGAATAGGGAAAATTATGTCTATCTCTATTTCCAGAAATGGAAGTCCCCTAAGATGTATGTGTGTGTATATATATATATATAGATATATAGATATATAGATATATATAGATATATAGATATAGATATTTGCTTAGGAGAAATCTATTTTCAAATTTTCTGTAATTGTTTAAAATGCTCAGGTAAGACTGGTAAGCTGAGTGAAACATGAAGATTACAGTAGTCAACATTCAGATTTTATTTTGTAGTTTAAAATCATTTTGATAAAGTAGTGTTTCACCCTTCCATGTTAGAAATGATGTGGAGTTACAATCATGGGAGACTAAAATTGAAGTCATATTAAACATGTATTAAAGTTCTGTTTTATTCAGATGAGTATGTAGTTTCTTCAACATTCCAAAGATGATTCCTGTTAGAGGAGTCTAGGAACTGCCATTTTTTATTGAGTGAAGATGCTTTTTTTTTTGGTAGACTGTTATTTCACATAGACAAGAAACATGATTTTAGATTATTATAATTATTTCATCATGCCAAGTGGGAAGAAATTTGAGTGTAAGATTATTTTGTTAGATGAGATGGTTAGGATTCTAAAAACTTTTTATTGAGAAAGTAGGAAAATAACAGCCTGCTTTAGAAAAGAATAATGTATGAAGGAAATACTCTGTTATGATTAGCCAATAATATAATTTGGTTCTTACAATTTTTCTATGTAAATATTTCAAAAACATGTTGCCTTTTTTTCAGATTGAAATTGTCAAAGAAGAATTTAATGAACATTTAGAAGTTGTAGACAAGATTAACCAGATCTGCAGAAATCTACAATTTCATCTAAATAAAATGAGAATTTTTGAAGAGCCTCCTTTTGAAAAAGAAGCTAATATTATTGTGGATAGATGGCTTGATGTGAGTGACAGTTTAATTCAGTAAAAATCTCATTTTATAGGAAATTGATCTTTTCTGTTGTATCTTTAGTATTTTTTCTCTAATTATAAAATTCAAAAGTGTTCATTGTAAAATGTTCAAATAATCTAAAATTTATGACCTAGGAATTAATTTCACCCCCTGAGTTAGAAGCCACTAACAAATGGGTCTGTAACCTTTGAGATATAAAAGCTTACACTCAACTTCTTTAAAGTAAACTAGCTAATATATAAATCATTCAGAATATTTATGTCCAACTATATATTTATTTAATAGGGTTTTGGTTGAATAATAATTAAATTTTTATGAATTACAAATTAAGAATTTGTCCGTATTCTATTTCCTTCTGTGTTTTAAAAGCACCTTTAATTTATTGTGGTTTAGAAATTAGGAAAACTATTACTTTCAGTTTCCTATAAGTGGCAGCAAAGTTTTTTTGTGGAAGGAAGAACTATGTGATACATTAAGGCACCTTTTTTTTTTGATGATAGTTAAAGCAAATTATTTTAAAAACAAAGGTAAACTAAACTTTTATTTTAAAATAGAGTGTGTTTGAAACAATGGTTTTCATACTTTTTACCACTAAGTGTGTTCTTTCTATTTTTTTAATTATGGTAGATAAATGAGAAGACAGAAGACTACTGTGAAAATCTTGGTCGAGCCCTAGCTTTATGGGACAAACTTTTTAACTTAAAAAATGTCATCGATGAGTGGACTGAAAAGGTCCTTCAAAAAATGGAATTACATCAAGTGGCTGAAGAAGAAAGAGAAAAGCTGAAGGTAATTTGTAACAGAGATAAAATGTATGCTCTTTTTGTACACAGTTGATGTTTAATATTGAGCTTGCTTTCTGGAGCCAGAGTAGAGAAATCACAAAGAAATGTTTTATTTCTTTCATTATCTCTTGAGTGGGACCTTTTGTTATTTCCTTTGTGATAGGTAGGAAGATGTTAGCTGGTATTAGTAATTTGGGGTTCACAGACTCCCAAGTGTTTGTAAATAAAATGACCTTATTTGGGAAAAATTGCATCTTTATTTTTATGAATGTCTAACCAAAATGTAATACTGGTTCCAATTATGAATACAGTCAATAAACATAGTAGGATGAATATTACATGTGACTTTGTTATCAAGAAAATCGCAGATATCTTTGAACATTATCTGATTGTAACTGTTACCCTTTATCACTGTTTGAAATTATGGTGTTTAGTAACGTCACTTCTAGGTCTTCTTATTTAAGGTAGTAATGTAGAAACAAATATATTGCTATAGCAGAAATTATTTTTGATATTTTGATAACTGTAACTCAGTAAAATTGTTTTCTGTTATAATCCTAGATAATTTATCTTATTTTGTTTTTAAAACATTGTTATGCAAAGGATCCGCAGGATTCACCAGACTATCAGAGGCATTTATGGTACAAAGAATGTTAATAACTCCTAGAAGAGGCCTTACCAAAATGTATAATTGTTCCCAGGGAGTCACTATAGGTCCCAGAGATTGGCAGACTTTTTCTTAAGAGATCAGATAGTAAATATTTTAAGCTTGTAGATCATTTGGTCACTGTCACAACTGGTTAATGCTGCTGTTGTAGCATGAAAGCATGCAGCCATAGACAATTCATAAATGCTTGAAAGTAACTGGGTTCCAATAAAACTTCCTTTATAAAAAAAGACTGCCAGCCCTTAGACTGTTAACCCCCGATCTACATCATGAATATGGACAATCTTCATAATTTGAATTAAGCAGCCTCTCCTTTCAAAAGATTAGAAAAAAATGCCAGGCCAAGTATTAAAATCTTTATAGAGCTGCAAAAAAGACTAGTTTTTAAAACCATAACCTGCCATTTTTTAAATGATTTTCAAAGATTTTAAGTTATCTCTTTTAACCCTAGAAAGAGCTCTTTCTGATTGCTTATTTATATATTATTCACTTGGATCATATGAAATATCATATGAAATATGAAATCTCTATCTTTGTAGGTCAGAAAATAATCAAATATTAGCAATTATATCTGGCTCAGTATAATAAAAAACTATATGTATGTGTACATGAAGGCTTTATAGTATGTCAAGTCTGATGCTTCCAGTCTCATTTTTTCTCTAATCTTTATTATTTTAACCATTTTTAAATTCACTTATCCATTTTTATACATTTGGAAAAGGTTTTCAAAAATGTGTAGAGATTTGAATTTCCTTGTGTATGATGATAGATATTATGATTTGCTAAGTGTGAATGAATAAGTCTTAATGCCTTGAAGTGCAGGTTGTTTAAAAATTTGAAGTTAAGGATGCCTGGGTGGCTCATGGTTGAGCGTCTGCCTTTGGCTCAGCTTGTGATGCTCAGGTCCTGGGATTGAGTCCTGCATTGGGCTCCCCGCAGGGAGCCTGCTTCTCTCTCTGCCTATCTCTGCCTTTCTCTCTGTGTCTCTCATGAATAAATAAATAATATCTTTAAATAAAAACAAAAATTTGAAGAAGTTAAAGATTGTAAACTGCCAGCCTGAGGGCCAGATTCTGCCAACAGTGTGTGTGTGTGTGTGTGTGTGTGTGTGCGTGCACATATGGACGCACAGTTTGTATGCACGGATCTAGGAAATACAGTGTGAAGGGACTACATTCTTGTGTGGCACAAGCCTGACCCCCTCTGTCATCTTACAGTTAGGCTGCTTCACTCAGCTGTAACATTTGGCTGACTCATAAAGTCACTTGGGTTCATAACTCTCAGGACTCCTTCGAAAAACAAGTCATTTGGGGAAATTCAAAGGCTCTCTCAGTTTCTGTATATAGTAATAGTCATCATAGATCCCAGAAAATAAAGTATAACTAAAAAGATATTTTCTGTTAACATTATTTGTTATAGGAAGAGTTACAAGTCCATGAACAAAAATCTTCAGAGTTTTCTAAAAGAGTGGCTAAAATACAGTTTCTCCTTCAAAGCAGTGAAATGCCTCTTGAATTGCAGGTAAGAGAATTTTTATTTAAAAATTGCAATTAAAGCCCTCTAAAGTAATGTTCAGGGATGCCTGGGGGGTGCAGCTGGTTAAGTGTCCAACTCTTGGTTTTAGCTCAAGTCGTCATCTCAGGGTCGTGAGATTGAGTCCTATGTTGGACTTGCACTCAGCTGGGTGTCTGCCTGGGTTTCTCTCTCCTTCCCCCTCTGCCTCTCCCCCTGTGCATGCTCTCTCTCTCTCTCTCTCTCTCTCTCTCTCAGATAAATAAATAAATCTTAGAAAAAATAATGTTCATAATCCAGAATTCTAAATCTTTAAAGTAAAATAAAATTAGAATCATTATTTAGTTCACCTTTATTCAATTCCTATGTTGTCTAACTAAATTTTTAATAGTTGGCATAGTTCATTATATCTGTTTAGAATAGGTATGATTTTTGTATTGTTTTATTCCCATTTCACTTATTTCCAGGACTCTTGTGTAGAGGTACAGATGTTGCCATGCTTCTATGTAAAGTAACAAGGGTTTCCTCTGGAGTGTCTTTTGGCCATAGGAAGGAGAATATGGCTCAAGTGATTCTGTGTTTATTAATTGCTGCATGGGGAAGCAGGGAGATTGCCCCAACTGTGATTTTCTATTGCGTGAAGAGATTTGTTACAATTTTATTTAGATCAGAGTGCATAGTGGCTGAAGAAGAGCTCTAGAGTCAGACTTTCTGGTGAGGTCTTGGCTTTGCCACCTACTAGCTTTGTGATCTTGGGCAAATCATTTAACATTCTAAATCCTGTATTTTGTACCTAAAGTGCTTACCACAAAGCTGTGCACATAATAAACAGTAAACGCTGGCTGTTTAATTTTTACTATATATTTTCAAATGAGTGCCATGAGATGGCACCTCAATGGATATGCTAGATAAAACTTGCTTAAAGGGGAAGGATTCAAATTAGTCCTTTGGGAAAAAGATAGGATGTCAATCACAGTTTTTCATGTTATTCTTTTTTAATTAATTAATTATTTATTTTTAAAGGTTTTATTTATTTATTCATTGAGAGACACACAGAGAGAGGCAGAGACACAGGCAGAGGGAGAAGCAGGCTCCACGCAGGGAGCCCGATGTGGGACTTGATCCTAGGACTACAGGATCACGCCCTGAGCCGAAGGCAGATGCTTAACCGCCGAGCCACCCAGGCGTCCCTCATGTTGTTCTTTTTTAAATGATTTGAATTGTATCAGTGATGTAGAACAATGAAGTATTAATTTCACATTGAAATGAAGTAAAGTATCAACTCATTCTCTAGCAATGCAGTTGTCTTAAAATCTAGTTAAATAAAGTCCGCTACAGACTTACCACATGTCTCATGATTTCAGGTCATGGAGTCTTCCATTTTAAACAAGCTGGAGAATGTAAAAATGCATTTAATAGGAGAATCCAACTGCTCTGCACTCAGTGGCAGCACAGCTGAGCTAAGGGAGGATCTTGACCAAGCCAAGACCCAGATGGGAATGACTGAGTCCCTCTTAAAAGCGCTGTCTCCTTCTGACAGCTTAGAGATCTTTACTAAACTAGAGGTATGTCCCAGTTTCTCCTCTCCTACGATTCAGATTTATTTTCATACTTATCTCTGATGACTTTGGCCTATTGAGGTTAATAAAAATAGTTACCAAAAAATGAGAGTCAGGGGAAAAACTCAGAAAAACAATTTGTGTATATTTAGCAGTATCACCTTTGAATTGCTTTGTGGATGGTAATTATTTGATATTAAATTGCATTGTATTATACATTTACTGGCTAAGATAAAGCGAATCCACCCCACAGAATATCATTTAGATTTTTACAAAAAACAATGGAGATCTATTATGGTTTGTGTAAATTGAGCTCATTTTGAGACTTAATGGTTGTTTGTTTATGTATTTAGGAGATACAGCAGCAAATCCTACAACAAAAGCACAGTATGATGTTACTTGAGAATCAAATAGGTTGTCTGACTCCTGAACTCTCTGAATTAAAAAAGCAATATGAAAGTGTCAGTGATTTATTTAATACTAAAAAAAGTGTCTTGCAAGATCACTTTTCTAAGTTATTAAATGGTGAGTGCAATGTTTCTCTTAATTGTTTCTGGGAATCTGGAAGTATCAATAAGTATTGTGAACATGAAGGCTTGTCTAAGCTTCACTTAAAAATGGTTGCAGAGATTCTAGTTAAGGAAAGAGATTTATTTATTTATTTATTTATTTATTTATTTATTTATTTGGGATTTATTCAGCTAAATCTTTCATGGGGAAGCACTGACTGATCTATGCCTGTCATAAATAACATTATATATTTCAAGCCCCAAATTATTTCATGAAAGAAGGTCACCAACATCCTCACATTTGACCTGCTCACTGTGGTGAGTGAGTCTGGGGATTTGTTTGTGAGCAGGCTGCCCCTGCAAGTGTCTTTGGATCTCCTATGTGCTTGGAAAGGAGGTTTGGTATAGAAAATATACTACAATTTGGGGTGCTTGTGGGATGTAGTTAGTTAAATGTCTGACTCTTGATTTCAGCTCAGGTCTTGATCTCAGGGTCATGAGTTCAATGCCCCGTGTTAGGCTCCATCCTGGGCATGGAACCTCCTTAAAAAAAAAAAAGCTAAAAAAAAAAATGAAGAAGGAAATATACCACAGTTATTCTTCAGAATCTTCAAAATTGGGTTTCAACTTATTACCACTTTATACAATGACTTGTAGCCATGTCACAGGAAGCAAGTTTCAAAGTCTCTCACTTTAACAAGGTATTTCAAGTGTCCCTTGAATGAATACAATTTCTTTTCTTTTTTTTTTTTCCTGCAGATCAGTGCAAGAACTTTAATGACTGGTTTGGCAACATTAAAATGAACCTTAAAGAGTGTTTTGAATCATCAGAAACAAAAAAAAATGTGGAACAAAAGCTACAAAAACTTTCTGTAAGATATATATACATATATATGTATATATATAAATCTTAATCAAAATTTATCAAAACTAAAATACTAGAGGCAAAGAACTGTATTTAAGTAGATGAAATAATTACTTTGGGGGCACCTGGGTAGTTCAGTTGGTTAAGCATTTCATGCTTGATTTGGGCTTAGGTCATGACCTCAGGGATGTGGGACTAAGCCCCACATTGGGCTCCATGCTGGGTGTGGAGCCTGCTTAGGATTCTCTCTGTCTCCGTCTCCCTCTTTCTCTCCCTCTCCCCTCTCCCCACTTGAGCTCTCTCTCTCTTTCTTTCTTAAAAAATATAAATAAAAATAATTACTTTGACTTACTAATTTCTCTATAATGTTTCCAAACAAGTGACTTTTCCCCAAATATTTTGAAACTCCATATTTCCTGGGTAAGGATGAGAGTGACTTAAACAAGTTCTATTTTCACACCTATTCTAAGATGCTGTTTGACTTAGTGTTCACTGGTAAATCTAGTCAGGTTAAAATTATATTTGTTAAAAAATAAAGGTCTTATCTAATGTGGACTTTGAAATCCCTTTACTTTCTTGAGAGAGAGGTCTCTTGACTTTTTATTGTTTTTTTCCGAGTAATATTTCCTTTAAAAAAATCTCAGTGAACTTTAAATCAGCTGGCTGAAGTGTAGTAGAGGGCAGCCCAGAATAAAAGTAATGTGCTTGGGGGCATTTAAAATGCTTATGGCATCCTTAAATCTTGATCACTTTAGGCTAGATTATCTAGTACTTTAGTGTTGATGATTAGTCATGCTCTCAAGCTTCTGAGTGGTGCTGAATGTTCTCTGTTTGTGTACTTGCTTTGATGATACTGTTCTATATTGATAGAATTGCCTTTCTACTCTTTTTTTTTTAGTTTTAATTCCAACTTTCTTTTTTTTTTTTTAGTTTTTTTATTTTTTGCCTTTAATTTTGCCCATTGTATGAGTCTTAGCAATTGATGCTCAAATCTTGAAACACAAACATTGAAATAAAATTCTGATTTGGACAAAGTTAAATAGAGAATCATGTGTTTAGTTTTACATGTTGATCAGCAGAAGGGAGTAAGTATTTAGAAGCTGAGGAAAGAAAAATGCTGCTTTCCCAATCTTATTCCTAATGACTTTCATGGTGGTCCTGCATTATTTTGCTTGATGCTATTTCCAATAAGTCAGAGGTATACACACATTCTACAACTAATAGAAATCATCTTTTGATCATTTGCCATTGAAGTTAGCCATACTTACATAGCTCTTCCTCTAGTGGATGTTTAAAAGGTGGCATGTCCACATACTGACTTGGAAAAGTGATAGAGGCCATGCTTCAACTTGCCAGTAGAGCATCATTGAGTTTCTGTCTTTCTTAAGGATTTCTTGACTCTTGAAGGAAGAGGCAGTAAAATACAGCAGGTGGGAACTGTACTGAATCATGTGAAAAAGCATCTACCAAAAGCACATGTTAAGGAGCTTAACAGTTGGATTATAAATCAAGAAATTGAATTGGAAAAGATGGATTCCATTTGCCAGACCCAAGCAAAAGAGCTTAATGACCACTTGCAGCAGCTACTGAGGTAGGAAATAAAGGTGATATTCAAATAACATGTTTTCTAATGGTACCTTTATGTGTTCAGTGCCTCAGTACAGCTAGCATTAGGATATACAATACATAGAAATTTCACAAATAAAATACATATTTCCAAATCTAAGTTTGTCTCTAGGAAGATAGAAGTCAAGAGAATTCTTTAAACTATCTAAAATGGTAATAGTTAAGGGGAGAGTCCAACAGTGTTTTCTGTTTGTTTCCTACTTTTTATGATACATTTGTGTAGCTCATTGCTTTATAGAATCCCACTATAATGCAGGCTGGTATTGTTCAGATTTTAATGTTACAAATTAATTTTTCTCTAAAGAATAATAAAAAAGGTAGTAAAAACCTGATTAGCTTATAAAATTCATGCTAACCTTCTCTTCTTAGAACACTTTTTGCTTATTTTATATTTTAACATATGTAATGTCCTTTTAGACTCCAGGATGACCACAGAAATCTGAGCAAGTGGCTGACAAGTCAGGAAGAGAAATGGATAGAAATGGAAAAATCAGGAGAGAAAACTGAGCTTTTTTGTGAAGCTGTAGCTGGAAAGAGGTATAGCTGATCTTGTATGAATATATTTTCTGCGAACACAGTTTCTTACATGATGTTGTGGCTGCTATAAACTTTCAATAATGTTTGGAATTTACAGGGAACAGTTTGAATCTATGGCCCAGTTGAACAGTTCTTTGAAGGAATATGGGCTCACTGAAGAAGAAGAAATAATAATGGAATCAACACACTTGATTGATAGATATCAGACATTTTTGAGACAATTATGTGAAATTGATGAAGAGGATAAGTTACCTCCTACAGAGGACCAGAGCTTTAATGATCTTGCACATGATGTCATTCATTGGATAGCAGGGATTAAAGAGTCCCTTATGGTTTTGAATTCATCTGAAGGCAAAATGCCACTTGAGGAAAGAATCCAAAAAATAAAGGTATAACTAAATTTCAGAGGTCAAAGTGAACAGAGTGAACTCTAATTTTTAAAAGATTTAGAGGAAAAACTACAAAGATTTGTTTCTTAATGGAAAGCAGGATCATTGTGGAATGTCGAAGCGTTCAGGTGACTGAGCTTACAAGACAGAAGGGCTGTGATGTATCTAAAATTATTTTAAAGCAGACAGAAGAGAAAAGGCATATCCTCTTTGTAAGGGCAGTGCCTATGGGGCTACGGTGGTGGGAGTTTGCTAGGATATAAAAAGAATATATGTCAGTACAGAGAGGCATCAGCATTATCAAGGCCAGAGCTGGAGAGGAACTCTTCTTCAGAGTGAATATGTATGGTTCATAAAGGTTTTTAGATATCGAGTGTACCATGTGGTTCATAAAGGTTATTAGATGCTGAGGGAATTGCAGAGGGCAGGGGAAACCTCAAGCTCCTTCCAGCCCACTTTTTATCTAAGGAGAGATTCAGTAGACATGGCTAGTTAAAAATACAGGGGACAAAAAAAAAAATATAGGGGACAGAAGCATATGTGCTCAAAAGAAACCCAGAAGGATTGAAATTACATTAATCAAAACATTATTGCAGGAGGAAATGGTTATGAACAGTGAGCTATAAGGGTTGATGAGGCTAACTGAAGTGATTGGGATTATATGTGAAAGGTTTTCCAGGGGAAGTGAATCTGGAGTAAGTAGCATTTCCAGTAAGGGAGGAACTTGATTGTTTAGAGCAAAGGAGGGAAGGAGAACAGGGAATGGAAATTAATTATGTAGTGGTGGAGGGATAAGAGTTGACATGGGGCCCTGCATTTTCCTGTGGAAAGCTGTAAGTCTCATCTTGAGTATATGAAAATGTTGTGTTTGGGTTGTTACCCTGACCCTCTATCTATAAATAATGGAGTGGATAGGAAGAAGGGTTTGGGTCTTTTGGACATATATCTTATTTGAAGGCAGTTGAAAATCAAGAGGAGAGCAGAAATGCAAGGACATCAACCTGAAAAATATTTATTGAGAATCAATTCCATAAATGTGAAGGAAATATTGTCTTTTGGGCATATTAAAAGATAATTTTGAAATTTCTGCAATCAGAATCTAAATAAAAAGATATCATATGTACTTTCCCTATATAATGCAAATGAGGTTCTAAGATCTTTTTTATTTAACTCAGGAAATCATTTTACTAAAGCCTGAAGGGGACGCTAAAATACAGACCATCATGAGTCAGGCTGAGAGCAGCAAGGCTCCGTTGGCTCCAAAGACCCTTACTGATATCAAGAACCAATGGGACAACACACTCCATTTAGCCAACACATATCTAAGGTAAAGGGCAATGCCTTTACTTTCATGACTTTTCATTGCACAGTGAAGCCATAACAAGTATGTTTTGTCTGCCTCCTGGATTTGGATATAATATCTATTGGAGAGAAAAAGTCAGTAATGTCAGGGGCATCCACAATGTCAGAGGCAGAAATGAAGATGAATAGTTCTCTGGATCAGATAGGAAGTACAGTCATAGCTCTATGGAAGTGTTTACTTTGGCTGGTTCATCAAACATGGAATTCTTGGTAACAAATTAACATTGTCTATGATTCCACTTTTAACACTCTGCTTCTTACCAAAAACCCCTTCCCCCAGACAATTTCAGTGTCTGCATGGTATTACTGTAGAATAATTATGCTTTTAAAAATATATTCTAAGAGATCCTTAAATGTGTAAACCTTGTAAATGTTGTCTGAATTCAGTGGACATAATTTTGGTGAAAATTCTTAATTCATATGACATCTCAAATGATACATTTACTGTTTATTTTTTTAAAAGATTTTTAGGGGATCCCTGGGTGGCGCAGCGGTTTGGCGTCTGCCTTTGGTCCAGGGCGCGATCCTGGAGACCCGGGATCGAATCCCACGTCGGGCTCCCAGTGCATGGAGCCTGCTTCTCCCTCTGCCTGTGTCTCTGCCTCTCTCTCTCTCTCTCTCTGTGTGTGACTATCATAAATAAATAAAAATTCAAAAAAAATTAAAAAAAAAGGAATGTTGAATTTATAAAAAAAAAAAAGAATAAAAGATTTTTAAAATTTATTTATTCACGAGAGAGAGAGAGAGAGGCAGAGACATAGGCAGAGGGAGAAGCAGGCTCCAACAGGGAGCCTGATGTGGGACTGGATCCTGGGTCTCCAGGATCAGGCCCTGGGCTGAAGGCGGTGCTAAACCGCTGAGCCACCGGGGCTGCCCCATTTACTGTTTAATGGAAATGGGAATTTTATATTTTTTCTAGGAAGACAAACAGATCAAAACTAAATTTAAGTTATAGAAAGTACAAACCAATATACTGAATGATTATTTATTTTCCTTACATGAGAAAGAAAAATATAAGATTATATAATTCCATTTAGGTATAATAAGAAGTATAATGGTTTGGAATCTGAATTAGTAAGTGTTTGTTCTTGGGTCGAATTATGGAACAAAAATTTTTTTTAGTAATACTGCAAATAACGTCTGTCTTGATTTCTGGGCTTAACTTAATGCTACCTAGAATTCCATAATGCCAAAAAAGTCTTTGGGAATCATTTATGTTAGTGTTATTTTATTTTATTTTTAAATTTTTATTTATTTATTCATGAGAGACACAACAGAAAGAGGCAGAGACATAGCCAGAGGGAGAAGCAGGCTCCATGCAGGAAGCCTGATGTGGGACTCCATCCCAAGATTCCAGGATCATGCCCTGAGCTATAGGCAGACGCTCAACCGCTGAGCCACTCAGGCATCCCATTATTGTTATTTAATGTTTTTATTATAATGTATTATAATGTATGTTGTCCTATAGTATGTGAAACGCATTCCAACTTGCTTAGAGTCGTCATTTCTAAAATGTTTGTTCAACGTAGCCATCAAGAAAAGCTTCGACTAGAAGGAGAGAAATATTTGCAAAGCAAAGAGGACCTGAGGTTAATGCTCACAGAACTAAAAAAGCAACAGGAAGCGGGCTTTGCTCTCCAACATGGTTTGCAGGAGAAGAAAGCCCAGTTAAAAATTTATAAGAAATTCCTCCAGAAAGCACAAGATTTGACATCGTTGCTAAAAGAGTTAAAGTCTCAAGGAAGTTACCTATTAGAGTGCACTAAAAATCCCAACTTCAGTGAAAAGCCTTGGCTGGAAATAAAGCATCTCCATGAAAGTCTCCTCCAACAGCTACAGGTGACATGGTCAAATTGAAATTTTAAATGACATAATTATGCATGATTTTGTCATATTTGTATATGGAATGATTTTTTGTTCTCTTGGAAAATCAAGAACTTTTAACATTTGATTTATCATTTTTAGATATAAATATTAAATCCTCAAGGATGGAGGAATCAATCCATCAGTTTTGTGCTAGAGGAATCCATCGCATATTGTTTGATGACATTTTTTCTCATCCAAGTTCTCCTTTTCAGTAGTCAAAGGGTTAAGATTTTTAAAAGATTTATTTATTTATTTGAGAGAGAGAGAGAGTACATGTGTGCATGGGATCAGAGGTGGGGCAGGGGGATAGAATATCAAGCAGACTTCTTGCTGAGATGGGAGCCAATGCAGAGGTCAATCTCATGATGGAAGCCAAAATCAAGAGTTGGATCCTTAACCAACTGTGCCACCCAGATGTTTTTAAGTATCTGTCTGAAAGTGATGCTGTCAAAGTGATCCATACATCCATCTATCCATCATCTATCCTTTGGAATAATTTACAGCTGATCCTTGAACAATGTGGGGGCTAGGAGTGCTGAGCCCCCCTACAACTGAAAATTTGCGTATCACTTTTGACTTTCTGAAAACTTAACTGCTGATAGCCTTCTGGTGACTGGAAGCCTTCCAGATAACATAAACAGTCGATTAACACATTTTTTGCATGTTATATGCATTACAAATTGTATTCTTAAAATAAAATAAGATTTATTGTAAAGGAAAGAAAATGTTACTAAAAAGATCATAAGAGGAAATACATTTACAGTACTGTACTACAAAAGACCTGTGCATAAGTGGATTCATACAGTTCAAGGCCATGTTGTTCAGGGTCAGCTGTACATTCATTATTTGGTATAAACCTCATCAATTTCCCTCTCTTGAGTGGTCTACAGTCAAAGAGTTAAGAGATCAATGTCAGCTTGCCATGAGGGAGTATATTCTCATAAGAGAATTGTCTATAATTCTTTGCATACTGGAAGTTAGATTAAATGTAAGGATTATGTGGATAAGAAATCCTGCTAATACAGATTCTAGGACATGTGCAGAGGTAAAGAGATACTCACTTGACTGTAAGTTGTTGAGTTTAATAATTATTACTTTCCTGTTCAGATATGGCTACCCTATTTTCTTATTTCAGGAATAGAACTTGAAGATGGGTTTGCTCTTGAGTAAGGATTACTTTTTCCTAACACACAATGTTTGAATTTAATTCTTAGGAAAGGAATGTGAGGTTAGGCTGATCTCATATAGTCTCATTTCCAACTGTGGATATTTGGTTTTACTAAGAAGGATAATTAAGGGAGCCACTTTATTATGGGTATTTGTGATTTGATGATATAATTTGAAGCATTTATGTTTTGTAAACCTCTTAAGAAATAAATTGTCTTCAGGAATTAAATGAAGGCAGAGAATCATGGGATAAACATGTGATTTCAATAAGCCATTTTTTGGGGGGAGGAGTTGATTTTTCATTGAAATACCTTAACTACTAAAAACTCTACTTAAGAACTCTGGACAACTTATGGCCCTACTCCTGTTTCTAGATGAAAACTCATAAAACAAGTGTTTGTGAACAATTTAACTATTTTCTGAGTGAGAAAATTCAGAGGCATAATTGGTGAATTGTCAATGGTTTTATTTTTAGGATTCTGTGCAAAAATTGGAAGGTCATGTTCAAGAGCACCACTCATACCAGGTTTACGTCACAGATCTGAATACTGCATTGGACGATATCTCCAAGGAATTTGCCAGTTTTTCTGATAAGCCTGTGGATCAAATACCAGTTGAGGAAAAAGTGCAGAAACTGCAGGTATTAAATAGTGTCTGGACATGATGGACATCAAAACAAAATCAATATTATTTACAGTGAACAAATCTGCATCTTTAGTCAGAAATCCAGTTATTCTTCAGAAGAGTAAGATAATTAAGGTTCTGACTAGTTGTAGAGAATGGTAATGTTATTCTTTAGTGACCAAGTCCATTTATAATTTGAATTGAACATTTTTCTGCACTGCAGACCATCAGAGACAGCTCTACCCATGACCAGTCTATACCTCCTGGAGATCTTTGTTTCAAAGACAGCACAGTGATTCCAGGAGATACTACCGGGAAGTCAAAAAATATATCTGATGCCACAAGACCAAGGGGGAAATCCTTCAGTTTTGCATTCTTTATCAAGGGTGGATGGGAGTTGTATAATTTTTACCTTATTTTTATATGCATGGTCTAAATTAGAGCTCTCTCCAGGTTAGGGCTTCCAAAATCTTCTTCCTCACTCCAACAGCACCTAGCCTCTTAAAGTGAGGATCACAGCCTTTTACCCACATCCTCAAAACACCTTCCTTAAAAAAAAAAAAAAACACCTTCCTTAGATTCTCACTCTTTGCTTAGCCAACACAAGCAAGCCTGAGAGCTGTCTTCTAGAAGAAAACAAAGTAAAGCATTTTTTCAGCTACTTCTTTGATAGCTCCTTAACTGGAGATTCCATGGGGTGAGTCTCAGAGCAACATTGCTGGCATAAGTGTGGGAATTCTTCATCTTTTTCTCTTTTTTTTCTTCCAGTTTTTAAACTTATTTAAGTAATCTTTACACCCTACATGGAGCTCAAACTCACAACCCTGTGATCAAAAGTCTTGTACTCTTCCACAGAGCTAGCCAAGTGCCCCCTCATCTCTTTCTTTTTGGGACCTGGGAATCAAGCAAACCTTCTCCTCCATGGCCTGAGATTGTGACAGGGCTACCTCCCTTTTTAACAGTGATCATTTGACAGATGTTAAGGGCTCATCATGTCCAAGGCACTGTTTGGGTACATGGATAACTATTTGGGTGTTAGACGTGAGCCCAGCTCAGGCTTCTCCTAAAAAATTAACATAGAACCTCTATTATAGGGAGAAGGAATCTCAGAGGCCATTAAGTTCAGGCCCCTCATTTTATATCTGGTAAGCCATGTTCTAGAGACATGAAGGACTTACAAGGTCACCTTGGTGACGTAACAGAGTAGGGGCTACAGCTCAGGTCTTCTGATTCCGCTGGACATCTCTATTTGGATGCTGTACAGTTATCTGTAGTTTAGCATGTCCATAAAACAACTCATCAACTTCCCTTTCTCCATCTCTCACTTCCTTAACACACATTAGTTCCTTAATTTCCTTTTGAGTCTTGAGTTCTCAAATCAGCCTGATCTGTTCATGCATTGAGTAAATATTGATTGAGTTCCTGCTAAATTTAAGATATTGCATTAGCTAGATTGATTTAAGCTTTGCTCTGAATGGTAAATATTAATACTAGATTCATGTGGGTATATTCTAAATGATTTTTAAAATTCTTTTCAAGCTGTATCTTGAACAAAATATATGCTTAGCAAATATATGTTGACTGCCTCCTATGTTCTAGGAACTGCGTTGTGAGAATTTTCTCTGTTACTTCTTATAAACTTCTAGTATCTTATAAAATCTGTGAGGGATTTTGATCTGGGATGCCACATTGGTTTAAATTTTGCCCAGAGTTTCTTCTTTGTGATATGAATTGGTGAATTTTTTATACTTTCCACTACTGGAGGAGAATCCTCTGGGATTTACAAAAGCCTATTAACTCTTGTGACCATTGAATGGAGGTACTTTTTGTGACAATCTTTTCTCCACTTACAGGAACTAGAGAATAGACTCCGTTTACAAGATGGCATATTAAAGAAGATTTTAGCTTTAGCAAAATCCATCAAGCAAAATACATCTTCAGGAGGACAGAAGATTATTAAAGATGATATAAAGTCACTTAAGTGTAAACAAAAGGATTTGGAAAACCAGCTTGAATGTGCTAAGCAGGAGTCAGAAAATTATCTCAATAGCATTCTCAAATCAGAACGCTCAACGGAACAGAAAGAAAAGTTTCCTCTGCCAGGCAGAGAGAAGGAGGTCACTTCTGATGTGCAGGAGCCCACTCAGGACTCAGCTGTGCTGGAAAAGTTTGAGGAAGACCGAGAAATAAACAAGGTAAGTGCTTGTGATTGCATCTCTAAGGCATCGTGGCTGAGAATGAAGAGGTGTTGGGCTCTGAAGAGAGGGTGGTGAATCAAGCCTTCTGATTTCATAATTAAACCCTCAATGCGCTGGCTATTTATGATGCCCACTTGTAAAAAGAGCCCTTAGAAAACTGTCCAAGATTTCAGTGGTGAAATATTACTGTTTAGTCTGTTAAAATGTCAGTCATCAATTTAAGTTGATTATTCTCTCTGATATGTAATCAGGTATAGTTTCCTGGGTCAAGAGCACAAAGGCAAATTAGAAAAGGCAAAAGAAAAGAAAGTGTGTTCTACCCATTTTCTGAGAAAAAAATTCCCAAGAGCCCTACTTTTTTTTCTTTTGGTTGATTTTATAATGAAATCAGAGAGTGTTTGAAAGGATAGGTTCCTTTCGTTTTCTTCTCCTGTTAACCCTATCCTGCAAATGCATTTATAAATGTTGTCAGATCATTTGGTGTGAGAACATCAACATTCAGGTTCCTCATTTTCCCCTGGGGAGAAGAAAAAAGAATGCTGTTTTGTTTCATGCTGACCAACCAAATGGGTACATATTCCAATGGCTCTTAAAGTTCTTTCTCACTGGTTAGAGATTGAATGGAAGAGGTGCAAAGAACCATCCAGTCACCCATTTGAAGGTCTCTGTAGCAGCCTCTCAGAGTCCAGTGTGATAGTAGCAAAGGATAGACCATTTAGGTGTGAGTTCTCATCTCAGCTTTTTATCGAGTACGTGATCAATAGTGATGAAAAGAATGTGCACTTCTGTTGTTTTAAAACAGAAATGCACGGGGATGTTTGGGTGGCTCAGTTAAGTGTCTAACTTTGGCTCAGGTCATGATCTCAGGGTCCTGAGATTGAGCCCCATGTTGAGCTTCCTGCTCAGCAGGAAGTGTACTTCTCCCTTTCCCTCTTCCCTCCTCCTGCTTGTGCTTTCTCTTTCTCTCTCTCTCTCAAATAGATAAATAAATAAAATCTTTTAAGAAACCCAAAATAAAACAGAAATGTATGGAAGATTATAGGAAACAGAATTCTCTAGGGTTGGTAAAATAAAACCAGGTTAAATGCCAAAGGAGCACCTGTCTGGCCATGAGAAAAGACTTATAAATCCCACAAGCAGTGTTAGATATTGCTAATGAAAATGTCTTAAAGAATGAAGGGCCCATGCATGTAACTCTTGAATTATGTGAATAAAAGAAACTTTTTTAACAGTATTAAATAGCAGTAGATAAGTAAAAAAGAAAAAATATCTGAGTGCTTTCTATCCTAATACATAATGTTGCTAAAGGGAATTGCTAAATAACTTTTAAAATTAGCTTCTCAGACCCATTTTGGCTGTGAGCTCCCAAAATTTAATAGAGCATATTGAAAATTAAGTAAAGATCATAATCCAATAAGAGTTTTTTATAATTTATTAAGCTTTTACTTAGTCTTGAATGATGAATTCTTTATAATTTATGGTACTTCATTAAAATATTTTTAGGTAAAACAAATATATTGTAATATACATTTTTATTTAATTTGTGATGTCTTGTGTAATGGTCAGAAGATTCTTGTGTTTGTGAAGGAGGAGATAAGCTACTTTTAAATCTAAAAAATGATAGGGGTACTTAAGTCTTCAAATAAATTTCACAGGTTTGAGATAGAGGAAGGTGGTTCTAATTTTCTAGCAGTATTTTATTATGACTTTTTACTCTTTTGTGTTATGAATCTTTTTTTTCCCCCAGCATTTGTACTTTTATTTTCCTTGCCCTAAAAACTGGCTGTATTAACTTTATTTTATATAACATTAGACTGTGTAGACCAAGAACAATATTAATGTTGAACAGCTAGTAGAAGTGTTCAAAACATGTGTAAGACACAAGTGTAGAGGCTTAAACAGGAGTCTCTAAATAACATAAAAGCATAGTGTACTGAACTCTAAGTCTGATTAATCAAAAACTATTGTGATAGTGAAAATAAGCACTTAATTCATTAAAAATGTTTATTGAGGCCTCTTTTGTGTTAATCATTCTGCTAGAATAGGGGCATACAGTTATCACAATTTAAAATTTAACACTAATTAGGTATTTAATTAATGCTAATTTCACATGCCCTTTTGGAATCTGGAGGGGCTTTTATCAGATTATTTAAAATCTCCTCCAGAAGAATTTTTAGGAAATTTTTCTTTTTTTTTTCTTTTTAAGATTTTATTTATTTATTCATGAGAGAGACACAAAGACAGAGGCAGAGGGAGAAGCAGACTCCATGCAGGGAGCCTGATATGGGACTCGATCCTGGGACTCCAGATCACACCCTGGGCTGAAGGCAGGCGCCAAACCGCTGAGCCACCCAGGGATCCCCAGACATTTTTATTTTCTTCTACTTTTTACTTTAGTAAGTTTTATTTGATCTTAGAGTTTTGTTGAAAGTATGATTGCATTTTTCAAAAACTGCCATTATAGCATGTATGTATTTGAATCCCTTACCAAGAATTTCATTTTAGATGAAATTTAGGGGATAACTTATATATGGACCTTCAGCTGACTTTTTCTTTAATAACAAAATATTAAGGCAAACCTGGAGGCAAAAGAAATTACAACATGCAGACTGAAGGGTTATTATGCTTGTGATCCAGTATCATAGTATTTTTGTAGAAGTGAATTTCTTTCTTAAATTTTTTTTTAAAGATTTTATCCATCCATTCATAAGAGACACTGAAAGAGGCAGAAACATAGGCAGAGGGATAAGCAGGCTCCCTGCAGGGACCCGATCTCAGGTCCCTGGGATCATACCCTGAGCCAAAGGTAGACACTCAACCACTGAGCCACCCAAGTGCCCTTAAAAGTGAATTTCTAAGAGTTTTTAAATATTAAAAGACAGAACTGCCTTCCACTTCCCCTTCCTGTATAGATGAAGTGAATAACACTTTAGGATATGATAAAAATTGAAGACTGACTAATCTCTTCATATTTTAGGTATTCAAAAGGGAAATAATAAAGAAGGAAAAAAGAAAAGTAATACATTCTTAGTTTGTTATTATTCTGAAAACTCACAAAGCAACATTACAAATCAACTGGTATTAAAGACTCTTTCTTGCCCCCTCCTTCCCAACCTACATGACATAATTGCTCCTAAAAAAAAAAAAAACTTTTGTCTATAATTACTTCCTTGAATTCCTTGTCATTAGGTGTAATTGTTAGTATGTCTGAGTTGTTTTTTGTTCTTTTCAAAAATTTCTGAGCATTTGTAATTTCAATGATTAAGAAGGCATCCATAGAGAAATTCTGGAAAGTAGATGGTCTCAGATACAGGCAAAACATGCAGGGTGTCCAGCTCTAGGTGAGTGACCAAAACACAGTACAGGAATGAGAAGGAAAACCACTTACTGAGTAGAGAGATTTCAGTTCTGGAGTAAATGATGTCTATTTTTGGTGTTGTTTATCCTGATAACTCAGTAAAAAAAAATTCTAGTAGGACACATAGTTGGGCCGAATGTCAACTCTGTCTTCAGAGTGCACTACTTTGCTCTTTTTGGCCCATAATCAAATCTTACTTCTTACTCCAGAAGTATTTTTCATAACCCAAGATTTATTCCTTTACAGGACAAGTGACTAACATAGTGTACATAGTGTTGACATCTATGAGCAGCATGCATTTGAGAATATGTTCTGAAGTTCTGAAATCTTAAGCTGAGGGACCTTAGAAACTTTTTAAGCTAGCTCTTGTATTTCAAGTGAAGGAATTGAAATCAGAGATATTTATTGGCCAAGTTCATATTCCAGCAGCACTGGGACTAGAACCCATGTCCTCTACCCAACCTGATGCTTGTTTGCTTATCCCACCCTTTTATTGAATGTATTATGTGGGTTGTTCATTGAAGCCTTATATATGCTAATGTGCACTCTGACCTCAGTGGACCTCTTACTGTGTTCTTGTGCCTATTTTGAACCTTCTCTACTCTCAGTAAACCCAACCAAAGCCTGTTGCTGTCATTCCTAGCAGATGTCTGCTCAACAACAGCTACATAGGCAGATCCTCAATTTCTTTCTACTCTATAACCCACAGATGATTCATCTTAACAAACAAAAACTAAATAAAATTTTTTCTTTTTTTGTCTAATATGACTTCATCTACACATCTATTCAGTAAAAATGTATTGAGCAGACAATGAGAGTTCAATGGTGAGCAAAAATAGACATGGTCTCTGTTCTCATTGAGCTTCTAATCTAGAGGAGGAGGCATACATTAATTAATCAACTAATTAACTAATAAGAACCTGATTACAGGAACTTAAATGAGGGAACACATTTCCGTGGTAGTCTGCAATAAAGAAGTCTGACCTGAGCTGTAGTCAGGGAGAGCTTCTCTAAGGAAATATTTTAACTGAGCCCCGAAGGGTGGGTTGGAATTAACAGAGCTCAGGGCTGAATGTTGGGAGCATTTTTGATAGAGGAAGCAGAATTTCCTCTTGTGGTGAGAGACAGTCTGAGGAGTTAGAAAGGGTGAAGGACAGAGGAGAGGGACAGGGTGGAGGCCTGAGAAGTAGGCAAGGCTAGTTGAGTCACAAGTGCCCTACAGGTCATGTTAACATTGTAGACATTATGTTAACACAAAGAGGCAGCCGCTGAGACTGTGTTGATCTGCCTTTCGGTTTGTCTCTAGTGGTGAAGATGTATGTTTATCTTTAAATTGTTTTTCACTGCTTCATATTGGAGTGCTTTAGAGAAGAAAGGAATATATCCTCTAGTCTTGTATTATACTATCCTACTGTTGGCAGGTTACAAGTGATAGATTTAGGCTTCTCACTTTCCAGAATTACTATAGGCATGAGGCCACTGCCCCTGAATGGGAAAGGGGAGAGTGAAGCTAATGACAGGCTTACTTCTGCTGGCTGTGCTTATTTGTTTGCTAAGCCAGATACAGTGCTCCATTATGTAAAGCCCACTGTTTTAAATGTTGACCTAAAAGGTTTACTTTGTGAATTAAGACACCTTT